GTGTGGGGAGGATGGGGGCTATGGGAGGATGAGGGCTTGTATGGGGGGATGGGGTGTATGGAGGATGGGGCCGTGGGAGGATGAGGGTATGGGAGGATGGGGCGTGAATGGAAGGATGGGGACGAATGGGAGAAGTGGTGGGAGGATGGGGGCGTGAATGAGGATGGGGGCGAATGTGAAAGGATGGGGATTTTGGAGAAAGAAAGGAAGTCGAATTGAACTTTCCGGGTGTGTAAGAAGAAGAATGAAATTAATGGATAAACAAGGGTGTCTTAAAACGAAGAGGTTTATGCCAGGTGAACCGGAAGCGGACGGTGATATAATCGGGAAGGTAGGTGCGTGTGTGTGTGTGTGTGTGTAATAATAATAATAATAATAATAATAATAACGGTTTATTGAAAGTTCGCAGCCTGAAGGCTGAAAATATATACTGGACATAAATGACTTATTACATACATTGGTGGTTTAACAAAGCCTTCATTAGAGAAAGGTAAAGGAACATACAGTGAACATACAGATTAATGTAGGGAACAGCAAAACGTGGTGTAGTAGTTCCCTCACAGATGGTGTTGTGAGGGACCTGATGTGGTGTAGTAATTCCCTCACAGATGATGTTATGAGGGGCCTCACGTGGTGTAGTAGTTCCCTCCCAGATGGTGTTAGGAGGGACCTCACGTGGTGTAGTAGTTCCCTCCCAGATGGTGTTAGGAGGGACCTCACGTGGCGTAGTAGTTCCCTCACAGATGGTGTTATGAGGGGCCTCACGTGGTGTAGTAAATTCCTCACAGATGATGTTATGAGGGGCCTCACGTGGTGTAGTAATTCCCTCACAGATGGTGTTATGAGGGGCCTCTCGTGGTGTAGTAATTCCCTCACAGATGGTGTTATGAAGGGCCTCACGTGGTGTAGTAATTCCCTCACAGATGGTGTTATGAGGGGCCTCACGTTGTGTAGTAACTCCTTCACATATGGTGTTATTCGGGGCCTCACGTGGTGTAGTAATTCCCTCACAGATGGTGTTATATGAGTGAGGTGTGGTTCCAGGCCTTCCTATCGTAGACGGATTAACACATCGCTGGTAGTTGGGTCTCACGGGCCGTTATCACTGGGTACCTGGGACCTCACTGTGTGAAAGGTCAACTTGGGTACCACTGTTACTGTTGAGTTTTTCTCACTGACTTAAGCACTGTTCACCTCTGTTTAACACTGGTTCCATTTCTTTCCTAAATGAAATAGTAACTTCTGGCGTGAACTTGTTGATATTCCGGTGGGGAGGAGGGTTCAGGGGAGGGAGTTGGTATGGGCCAACTTAACAGTTGACCTGGCTGCTCCGAGAGGAGCGCCAGGTACGTCTTGACCCTTCGGCGGTCAAGGATGAAGTGTGTGTGTGTGTGTGTGTGTGTGTGTGTGTGTGTGTGTGTGTGTGTGTGTGTGTGTGTGTGTGTGTGTGTGTGTGTGTGTGTGTGTGTGTGTGTGTGTGTGTGTGTGTGTGTGTGTGTGTGTGTGTGTGTGTGTGTGTGTGCGTGTGTGTGTGTGTGCGTGTGTGCGTGTGTGTGTGTGTGTGTAAATCAGGTCACCAGCATCTGCAGAAGTGTCAGAGTTACCGTCATGTCGAGGCTGGCTGGTGTTGGTGAGTGTTGGTCACCCTTTCCTGCCACCCACAACACCACCACCCACCGAGCCATTAAACAAATTGAGAGTGAGGTGAGGGAAGTGGTCACCAGTACCTCCCCTCCCTGCCACACTCCTGGGGTCTGATAATAGATAGATAGATAAAATCAGTAAAGTCGTGGTCATTCAGGTTGGTATTGGTTCATAATGTATAGATGGGGACAAATTTCCCTGGACACTCGGCAGTCTTTCCATTGTGTGATTCTGACATATGTGACGAAAAGCAAAGTTACTTAATGTAAACCAATCACGTATGACCCAGTTGTTGCCGAGTGTTCTGGGAATTTTGTCCACAACTGTATACAGCCATTGGAGGCATACCAACAGTGTAGCTACATAGATGGATAGTACAAGTTAACGAACAGTGTACATAGACATTACAAGTACACCAACAGCGTACATAGAGAGTATCACGTATCTGTGTTAGTAGTACATAAATGTTGTGATGCTAAGCAGCTGTAAATGAAGATCACAGATTTAAATAGCATTAAGTAATGACAGCAGCTCTGACCGTAAGGTTTCCCACACAGGTATTGGTGTCAAGTGGACAGTAGTGCCTCACCTGGGGGTCCCGCTCACCCCGCACCGACTTGGTGGTCTGGGGTGGTCATACCAGGAGCGTGTAGATAGATAGGTCAGGGCAGTGAAAGTATGCGCAGTAAAAAGGTTTTTTATGCATATTGTATCATCATGTGAAAGGTTTCGTAGACACATAAGGCAAGAGCCAACTACAGCCCGACTAACATGCACATTACAGTAGAATAGCAGTGGACATTTACCATTTGAAGCACGTAAAATTTTGAGTTACTCAGTTTTGGCGACATACACGATTTGTTTATTTCGCATTATCGTTTGAAGGGAGCCGTATACACTTGTCATTATACAACAGTACACACCGTCCCTTGATATGTCTCATGATTGGTGCTTCAGTAATATTATTTCTGGTCGTGTTAGTGTTGACGTTTTCCTGGTTAGGTCCCTTTACCTCAACCATATACTGTACAATAACAACTTGGATACAGGTGATAACTTTTCTTTTCAACTAATTAACTAACTTCATTACTTACTTTAGATACTCATAGGAAATAATGAGGCTGCCGACATTTTAGTTTTGCATTTGATACTCGAGTGGCAAATAACATCACTGTTTTGGTGGTTAGTGTTATTGGGGGTCATTGCCTACACGTTTGTTGTCCCAGTTCAGATTTCAGATTCAGATTTGCGCCAGTTCGTGCTGTGAGCGTGGCCAGGCAGGATAAAGCAGTGACCCCAGGTAGACAGTGATTAAGGTGGAGCCCTGACAAGATGACACCAAATGGACGTCCATGCACAGTATAAATAACCCCAGATAAATGTCCAATTCCCGTGGTTAATAATCAAGAGACCTTTATCAGTAACAATAATACGTGGATATTGATTTTGGGTTAATGACTATTGTATATAATTAACGGATGATAGACATTAATATTAGATCAGTGGTTCTCGTGGTCGAATTTGGTTCTGGAGAAAAAGAAAAAAACACGAATGATAAAAGTTGACTTGGCATTGAGATTAGATGAGACAAGGTATTACGGCACGTCAGGTAAGGTAGGAGGAGCTCGTGTTGATCTTCCCATCCTAACCTCTCCCCCCCTCCCTCCCCCATTTCCCACCCCCCCATCTCCTCCTCCTCCATCCCTTCCCCTCTCCTCCATCCCTTCCCCTCTCCATCATCCCTCCCCCTCCCCACCACTCCTCCATCCCCTTCCCCTCTCCTCCATCCCCTCCCCCTCCCCACCCCTCCCCCACCACTGCTACTGAAACTGAAGCTCCTATGTAGACAGAAAAATTACCGATAGTAAATGTACAGTAATAGAGAATAAATAAGGGGGGGGTGTGGGGGGTTGAGAAGTGTGTGTGGGGTGGCAGCACATGACAGATGCACCGTCACGCTCTCTGTATGATGGAAAGGTAAAGTGGCGCCTTAAGAAGATTGAGTTATGGAATAGAGTGTGCGACTTAGAGCACCAAGTATGATCAGTGGTGGTGGTGGTACTGTGATCGTTGTTGGTATCGTCGTGTGTCATGCGTCTTACTTGATACACGTAAATTTCCTAACCTAACCAACCGCTACAATTTTTTTTTTCACAGATTTAAGACTTAGCGTTATCTTCAACTCGCTCCTCTGATAACCTGTAAGATCATAGACAGAGATCACCGCATGTTGCTGTGATGAATACTCGACAGTTGTTATCCATTACCCATCGAATAGTTTACCTCTGGTCGATTAAGGTGTAGAATAGGCACTTGTGGTCGACATGGGACAGGGGTCGAGGATATTGAAATGGGTGAATCTGAGCTACAATATTATTACAGTATTATTGAAATTTTGTCACCCTCCCTCCCTCCCCCCCCCCCCTTTTTCCTCTCGCCCTCTCCTTCCTTCTTTTCCCTCCTTTCCTCCCTTTACCTCTCCATCTCCCCTCCTCCCACCCCCGATAAGTTATCGGCCTGACAAGTGACGCCTCGACTACTGATTCAACTCTCGATGCGTCAAGCTGTCATCTGGCTGAGGAATTTATTTTTTATTGCTGTTGGAAAGGGAAAGTCATGTCGCCGCAGCTAGGGAGAGAGGTGTCTGTACTATGGCAACTTTGTCTGTGCTTAAGGTGTATATTTTTTCTCGTTGTTTACCGTAGTCTGTTGGGGATTTGTTGTTGTCAGTCTGTCTGTTATTTTTTCATGGTCTGTTAATAATTTTTTTACTTGTTTTTGTCATTGTTAAAGATTGTTTTACTTGTCTGTTTAAGATTGGGTTTTTTTAGCGTGTTTTGTCAGTCTTAAGGAATTTTCATTTTTTTCCCCTAATACTATGACGGAATTTGTTATAATGAGTAATATAATTTTCTAATTGCTTTTTGTTTTTCTTTTTTACTCAATCAAAGAATTTCTGGGCAAGTTTTCTCAGTGTCAAGGAAGTTCTGTGACGTCTTGGAGAGTCGCTAAATCCCCTTTCAATGTCGGGACTGTTTTATCTTGTCTTTATCTGTTATATTTTTACTTTTGTTCATCTTTTTATTTATTTTTTTTTACCCAGGTAAGAAAAGTTTGGTTTAATGTCATGTTTGTGTGTGTGTGTTATGATGTAGTATAATGACACATGTTTGGTCTGTCGGTATGTATGTGTCATGATGTCTTATAATGACATAATTATATTGGGTGTGTTTAGGAGGGATTTATTAGTGAACGGAGTATTGTTTACCGTGTGTTGATGTCTGTTAGAGAATTATATTGTTTACAGTGTGATGATGTCCGTTTACACGTTGATGACTGTTCTCTTCTGTCCACAGATGGAGGAGCTACAGATGGCAGCCCTAAAGATAATTCTAAAGAAACGAAAGACACCAAACCTCGTCCACCACCAGTTGATGTAAGTAAGCAATAGTGGTTGATGTGAGTAAACAATAGTGGTTGATGTGAGTAAACAATAGTGGTTGATGTTAGTAAACAATAGTGGTTGATGTTAGTAAACAATAGTGGTTGATGTAAGTAAACAATAGTGGTTGATGTTAGTAAACAATAGTGGTTGATGTTAGTAAACAATAGCGGTTGATGTGAGTAAACAATAGTGGTTGATGTTAGTAAACAATAGTGGTTGATGTTAGTAAACAATAGTGGTTGATGTGAGTAAACAATAGCGGTTGATGTTAGTAAACAATAGTGGTTGATGTGAGTAAACATTAGTGGTTGATGTGAGTAAACAATAGCGGTTGATGTAAGTAAACAATAGTGGTTGATGTTAGTAAACAATAGTGGTTGATGTTAGTAAACAATAGTGGTTGATGTAAGTAAACAATAGTGGTTGATGTAAGTAAACAATAGTGGTTGATGTGAGTAAACATTAGTGGTTGATGTGAGTAAACAATAGTGGTTGATGTAAGTAAACAATAGTGGTTGATGTTAGTAAACAATAGTGGTTGATGTTAGTAAACAATAGTACGTACAGTTTACAGTTGTCTAAATGAATAACACTTCCAGACATTTTTAATCATAATGATATCTGTTAACTACAAAACGCTGTATTTTTGCTTTTATTTTTCGAGGTGGAACACAATTCTGTATAATAGTAACAAGTTAATTAATAAACGCTAAAGCAGTTTTTCATAAGAAGTTTGTAAAAACAAATCGTGTAGTTAAAATTCGAGTACGTAAATTTTGAAACGAAATAATGAGGTTATCGATAGCTCGTGGACATTCAGGAATAATTTGTGGAGATATAATTGGACGTCAAAATTAAAAGGTATACATTAATTGTGTTAAGCTGAAATGAATATCTAATGAAAAATATGAATTAAAATAATATTCATACGTTTATGCCATACCTTTAATGAATATGTAAACAAATGTACTTTATTCCGTATTCACAACCTCGATGGAGGCGGAAAACGTTCACAAAATAATTTTTTGATCTTTAGACAAACTGTATGTTTAAATAAACGCCTTTTGATACCTCTTCCCCTCGTAATTATAAGAAAATTAATTGTGATTTATACTCTGAAGGCATTGTATTATTTAGTGCCCAAGAATAAAACGGCCATTTTTTATGGTTGAAAAGAAAAGTAAAATTTGGCTAAATTGCTAACTTCTATGAAACCTTATTCAACTAATGATAGTTTTAGGCTAACAAACGCCTTTCATATTGTTTTAAAAATAAAGCAACTTCTAAACAAGGAAATAAGCCACATGAAGAATATTCTACACAATAATAAGTGTTATCGGATTCTGTTGCTGTATCATTTCCGATTGGCTGCCCTTTTTATTTTTTTCCTACCCGAATTTTCTTCCTTTTTCAAGCATGAGATTAGGATACAGTTCTTGCTACCCGCCTTGAAGCCTTTTACCTGCAAATCTGTGAGGCAATTCCAGAAACAAATTAGGTAGCGAGAAATTTGGGCTCGGTAGTTCCTTAATATTCCATCTTACTCCAATGACGTGATCCCAGTGTCCAGTATCCACCGGTCAGTCCCGTCAGTGGTCATTACTGTCACTTGATGGGCTCCCGCAAAGTTGTCAGATACCGCTGTTTGAACTAATCTTACTGAAAACAGTGACATCACCTCGTTAGACGACTTCCTTATTACAATTTCCATGGGACTCGAGGGTCATGATACCTTTTTTGATGGGTGTATGTACAAGCAACCGCAGCAAGGTATTGCAGTAGGCTGTGTTAACGCTCTGTTATCATGGCCGCCGTGATAAGTACAGAGTAGGGCGCGTCATACCAACTTCAACTAAGTTTATGCCCACTTCATCCGATCCTTCTACTGAATCTTCTCCTTAGTGAGAACTGTGGATGCGATAGTGTACCCCCTCCCCCCCTCTCTCTATCTCTCTTCCCGAAAGGAGCTTACCGAGTAGTTGCTCAGTTAGTTTAACTGTGTGTTTGGCAGGGCGATATTTCAGGAACTTTTTGCGCTCGGGAGCTGAAATTTGGACAAAATAATGACCAAGTGCTTTGGCCTTTCTTATGGCTTAGGAGGGGCAGCGTACATTGAAGCTACAACTACGTACTTGTTTTTCTTATACACTGTACTGATAAATTAACTTTAATTCACTATTTTAGTGGGAGATGATTCATTGTTCAAGGAAAGTAAGGTGTACTTGTGCCTCTGCCCTGCCTTGACGAATACAGTGTAGTAGCTTTAAAAATTATATATATATATATATATATATATATATATATATATATATATATATATATATATATATATATATATATATATATATATATATATATATATATATATATATATATATATATATATATATATATATATATATATATATATATATATATATACTGTATATCATTGAATTGAATCACATTTTGTAGTTGCCTCTAATATTTTGTCAGTCAAAATATCAAACGTTCATGTCATGGGTAAAATGATGTCCATATTTTAATAGCGCTATTGCAGTGATGACTTTTCTGGGTCATTTGTGTGTAACTGTTGAAATAACTCTTGCTGTTTATTTGTTATAGAAATAAAAAAACGTCCAGTTCATTGTTCAGTAGAGTGTCAGTAAAATGTCCATTGTGTTCATTATGAGCCCAGCGTCACAGTGTGTCCCAGGTAGACTCTACTTGTGCTTTGAGTTTGTTAGTTTTGGTAATGTCATTTTACTTTTAAAAATTCTTGGTAGTGTTTTAGCTTAGTCATTTAATTATCAACTGATTCTTGTTAGTTTCAACTCTGTCGTTAGTTTCCGCCACATCTTGTCATTTTCAACCAAGCCAAGTACCTGTAGTTTCATTAAAGTTCTGAATTTCGCCTAAGTCGTATTAACTACGATTAAGTGATGCTAATTCCAACAAATGCATATTAATTAAAATAACTATGATGTGTAATTATATCTATGGGAAGATGTGTTAATGTAATCAATTTGTTTATAGTACTATAATTGTCTTAATTGTTAATACAGTACTGTAGTTATAACAATAATAAGTAAATTGTGTTAATTACAGGTAAGTTGTGTCAGAGTTAGGTTGTGTTGTGTCAGATAGTTAGGCTGTCAGTTACAGTTGTCAGATACAGATAAGTTGTGTTAATTGCATCTGTATTAGTTACAGCTAGAATGTATTAGTTATAACTGACTCGTGTTAGTTACAACAAACTCATGTTAGCTACGTACAAATAATGTTTGTTATAATGTAACCCTTTAAGGAGTAGAGTCACGGTCAGGTCAGGTCGGGCAGAGGAGTGAGTAAGCTGAGGTGAACATTCCTTTCTTATCAACCTCAGATATGCTCTATCTCACACTAGATAAATATTATCATTTCAACACCAGTAAAGGGATTTTTCATATGAGAAACATTCATCAAATGTTTGTGTATAATATATAGCCCACTTAAGTTTATTCAACTGTACGTAACCCCTTCATGTATGACTCACCCCTGACTGTATTCAAGAGGTTAAACCTGAATACTTCCGTGGTTAAGACTTGGACTCGAGGGGTACTGGTATTTTACTCTTTGAGCTAACTCATAACACTCAGTTGGTTGGTATCTTATTCAAGGGATTAGCTGGTGGGTGAACATAGCGGTCTTGTTTTCCTGTGTTCTCTCATACAGTACAGGTAATATTTTATATTTAAATATATTCTGATTATAGGTATTTGTATATTACAGTACAGAACAGTATTAGGCCTGTTTATGCACCTTTTTTTGTAGGTTATGTTTATATACTGTTACTGTACATACTGTATTTTTTTAACATATAGCTATCAGTGTTGTGGTCACAATGTTATTAAAAGATGTAACTCACTCATGATTAATTTTACAGATCGCAGCAGCACAAAATGCGGGTCAGGATGGGGGCATTAAAACGCCCACAGCCCAAACCCCCAAACTACACCCCGGCCCTTCCCGTTATGACACCTTTCGGGACAAGGAGAAGAAGATTGGCCACAGAAGAGTTGGAGAAGGTGGTGTGGTCACATACAAGAAGGTAAGAAATGAGAAAATGCTCCTTAACTTAATTCTGATGATGGATATTGATGTTCAAAATGTAATTACAAGGATTTAGCAGCCTTTTGATGGTATGTCCTATTGGCTTGGTTCAACCATTCATCACTTGATTGAGGTTCCCAAGAAAGGATCATTAGTAGTGTGTGTGTTGAGTACTGAATATGGCCGACAAGGGCTAATACAGTACAGTAGTAAATAGGGAATAGCTACTCATTAATAAATACAGTACTTTGCTGTAGTAAGAGCAATTCCTTTAAGATACAGGAAACAAATTCATTTGAGTAGATAGACATACAATACTGTACTATACAGGACTGTAATAGAATAGTGTAAATGAATAATTTTACTGTTAATTTGTGTAAGAACTACAAGAATGTTACTGTGAACTTCTGTTGTACAAAGTATTAACAATTATTGTTTTGCAAGAAAGATGGTACTGTACGTATATACAGAGTAAGGAATAATAATGAAATATTTCTTCAAGAATATTGTAGTACAGTTATTTAGCATTTTTCCACTAGAGGCCATAGGCTGTAAAATACATAAAATTATAAAATCAATTTGATTATCAGAGACTCACTGTACATTACAGTGCAATACTATACTGTAGCTGGAATTATGAACAACATGGATCTGCACAACATAAGCATTTGGGGTGCTTTGTGATCAGAAATACAGCAATGTACTGTACTGGAGAGTGCTGCAGGTTTCAGTGACATACCAAAGACTGTACAGTATTGAGGTTCAGATTCAGTAACTTTAATCAGACATCTAACAGTAAGTATGGATCTATAGCTAGGTACAGATAAAGAACAAGGACAAAACTTCCCTTGTAAGGACAGTATACAGAACAGCACTGTACTATGTATAATGTTGTTAGAACCTTTTATTACCACAGTTATATGTTTCTATTAAATTACTCTTTGGTGGCAGAAGTGAAATATTTGTGTGTTGTCTGTACTTTTATGAGCTGTAACAAGTACAATATACAGTATTCAGATGTCATCAAATTTAAGAAGTTGTAGACTACAGCTTGTGGGTAGAAAAGTAGTTACGGGTAGGCATAGGCATTTATATATCAAATAAGTTGCTAGAGAACCTTTAATCATTACATTATTGCCAGTAAGTCCCAGGGTCCATTTAGCAACAGAATCATTCCTCTTAAACACTCACATTAGATTAACTTGGGTAAGACAAGACCATAATTAACATCAAGATGTACTGGGTATTAATAAGCAATAATCCACCCCACAGATTGGGACTTCCCAGTTGATGGGGTCTATTCAGCTGGGGATCCAGCAGGCGGTGGGGAGCTTGGCGGGTAAACCTGATCTAGATGTTTTAATTCAAGACTTTTATGTGGTAGAAACTATATTCTTTGCTTCTGCTGGTTCTCAATCAACGCCAGCGCATCAGTTTTCTGACTTTAGGTAAGGTTCAATGCATTAGTTAACTCCAACCTTGTTGATGCCTGACCTCACATCTGTAATCATAAAGTTAAGATTCCTATTAATACAGTAGATTGTATGTGTACAGTATTCTAGTCCTATGACAAATGAGTAAAAAAAAAAAAAGTTTTGTATATCTTACTCTTGATTTTATCTTTAAAGTTTGTTAGAACTTTCCTTGCATTAAAATACTTATGTTCAGTTTTTGCTTCCATCTACTGAAATGTGGTACATGTACAATAATCACTTTTACTTATAATATTTTAATTTCCTGATGTTGTATACTAAAATAACTTTGTTAGAAAGGATTATTTATCTCTATTATTATTATTATTTTTATTATTATTATTACCCTGTACTGTTATTCCTGCACTTCAGATGTTTCTCCATGCTTAGGGGGTCATTTGTTTATGATTGTTCAAAATCCGGCCTGTCTACTTCATTTTTAACTACACCATCCCAGTCAATAACAATACTGTACAGTGTTTTAGGAAGTGGTACAGTATATGAAAACAGAGTAAATTGTTTTAAAAACTGCAACACTTAACCTGACATAGTAATTAATTTCCATTGTAAACATGCTTAGGTATGGCAATGTTATATCAACAATCCATGGATAAAACATCATTAATTCTTTGCTTTAAGTCATAATTACTGGGCTAGCAATGCTTAAGTGTAAATTTTATAAAGGACCTTTAGGCTCAGATTTCCTTAAAGTTTTAGTATTTTAGTTTAAATGAAATTAATGTTACTTCAAATGAGATCCAAGTACTGTACAATATACAGTATATTGTATTTACGTTTGAAAACCATCCCACCCAACAGGTATCATTGTGCACGGAGCCTCTGCGAGAACTTAGCAACCCTGGGGCGAGTGGCAGCATCTTTTACCTCACCAATGATGACGAGTTCATCATCAAGACTGTGCAGCACAAGGAAGCCGACTTCCTCCAAAAGTTGTTGCCAGGATACTATATGGTAGGTTTTCTACTGTATTTGATGGGAACAGGTTACATGGGCATGAGAGCAGTGTATGAGGGGAAGAGTTGTGTTAGTTCAGAAAAGAATGAGGATTTGTGAATCAAGTTTTTTATTAAAGAATATGAATGGACAATTTCTGGATGAGAGTTGAGATTATTTTTGTAATTTTGGGAGGTTTATAAAAAGCATATGATAGAGTGTATTAAAAGTGGCATGGGTAGCATTGAAAATGTATTGGATAAATGGGAAACAGTTAAATGCTAATCTGAATTAATATAAGGCAAGTGTAGCAGAATAGGGTAAAAAGGAAACAGTGAATAAGAAATAAAGGAAGTTCATGATGTAGAAGTGAAAGAAATTTTGGGCAGAGAGCAGATCAGGGTCTAATCAAGTGGTATGGACATCTTGAGAGAAAGGGAGGTGAAATTTTAGTAAAATGTTTATATAATTCAGAGGTTGATAATAGGCAGGAGAGGAGTAGACCAAGGTGGAGGTGGAAGGATGATGGTCATCTGGGAAACAGTGGAGTAGAGTACAGGGATATAGGCAAGCAGTAAGAGTGAATGGATGACAGGAAGGTAAGAGAGGCTCCACAGGTGCTCTTGGTTCTGCCTATCATGCAATATGACAAGAGAGGTTTAAAAAAATATTTCATTGTGCTCTAACTAGACAAACTTAGAGCCATAAATTATCCTTCCAGAAAGGTTATGTTATACAGTATATGTATTGTGAAGTTGCATGCATTTTTCAATATTTTTTTATTTATATATTTTTATTTTATAATCTTTTCAGAATCTGAACCAGAATCCTAGAACGTTATTACCAAAGTTTTTCGGCTTATATAATTATCAGGTAAGGTGGACAGTTTTAGTACTTCATCTGGTGCTGGTATCCTAAGACTGTACAGTATATTTGTCATATCTTGTGGCTATGCCTGTCCCTAATATGCAGTTCCTTTTGTGTTTGTTTCATTATCATTATGAGTAACACAGTTGTTACAATAGTTGTCAAAGGTTTATTTTAGCTCATTTATCATTTTTCTTTAAAGCAATCTGCAACCAAACTTTGCGGTGTGTTGAAATGTCATCCAGATCACCATTATAAGGTAGACAAAATTGAGCAGTCTAATTATGACTGGACCAAATATAATTTTGGCTACAATAGCTGTAGAAGAGTTTAGCTTCTGAGGACTTTTATATTCCTATGTGGATTTTTATTACTTTGTTTTTGTGGGAGTCCTATCTGTTCTTATTGATATCACTGCACTCCTGAAGGCACAGGATAAAGAAATTCTTACTGTTTGTATGTTCATTCCTTGGCCAAGGGCTTCATTTGACTGGACCTTTGATTGTAGTTAAACTGTTTAGTAAGATTTATTAATAAATAAAGGAAAAATGGAATTAAAATACAGGGTGTCCATAAAGTTCTGTTTTGATTTCAAACATATATTTTGTGCAAACAGCATAAAATATTGAAATGCAGTGTTTTGTTTTTCACCTAAGCAACTTCACAAAACTGCATTTCAATATCTTATGCTGTTTGCACATAAAATATGTTTGAAATCAGAACAGTGACTTTGTGGACACCCTGTATTGTACTGCACACTGGAATGGATCATTGATAATATTGTGCCCATGGAAGGAAGCACAAGTGTAGGAGTAGTGTTGTGCCTCGTGATGGTTCTTATAATTTTTACAAAATTCTCACTATACTACATCTGACCAAGAGGCCTGGCCACCACATATTCTCAAACTTCATGCACACTGTCCATCATATAGGGATTATTTTTAAGTCTCTTTATGTAGCACTCTTTTGTTTTCTATGTAATTTCCTCTTGTTCTGTATAACTTGTGTCCTGTTCTGTATTTATTTCTCTTCTTTCTGTGTATGTGTACTTTTCAACTGTTCTCTATATAGTTTTTTCCTGTCTATATACTTTTTCCTGTCTATTTACTGTTTTTCCTGTTCACCTTTTTTTCTGTTTTCCATATACAGTACTGTACACTACTTTTCTAGTGTTCTCAACCAACTTTGTTATGTTTATTTATCCCATTTGCTGTATTTAAACCAAAGGTAACCCTCACCTTTTTGACACATTATTTCATATTACCAATGTTAGGACCTTCTCAGCACTGCTTTCGCCATTACAGTTTGCTCTTGTACTTTAGGGTATAGAGTTGGTAATGTGCTCCAGATATGATTCTAGATTGACATGCCGTGTTTATTTTTTCATTAGTATGATTTGTCCTTACTAAAGCATATGTACCACTATGGTATAATTGTTTAATTCTTTCTCAGTACTGCACATAAATCCTCCTGAATTTCTTCATGAGTTAAAGACAAAAGGTTTCAGTAGATTATGAATGCAACCAGAGAAAGAAATTATTTAATTATGTCACTTATTACAAAATCCTCCCACATCACAACATTTTTATTATTTTCTTGGAAGATTATAGTTTATTTGAGTTTAGAGAGGTAGAAATGATCTCCTTCTTAAATATTGTGTGTTTTCTGAATTTTTGTACACTCTATAGTATTGTATATGTACTGGTTTGTACTATATTTTGCTTTGTGCCCACAGATAGGTACTAACATTAAATCTGACTCTGAATTTAGTACAAGTATCAGGTCAAATTTTTACCTGACTACCCAATCAGTTTCTTATAAGGCTCACACTGGACACACATTAGTAGAAAGTAAAGGATGATGAGATTTACTGTACCTCATACTGCCTACTACTCAAGGACTCGCCATCAGATTATCAGTCAGATTTATGACTTTGGCCACAGAGAACCCTTGTTGCCTGTAAATGATTTATCTATCAGTGATTATCGCTTTCATATTAAGTTACCACTACCAGGGGACCCTCATGTAATTTGTATCAAGCATGGGAACGGTCTGGAAGCTTGTGATGAACTTATTTTGCATTTGTAAAGGGTGAAAATGACTGTTACAAATAAAAAAAAATTTGCATCTCATATTTGGAAACTTGTGCTCCCTCTTCCTGCTTGTTCATGGCCGAGACCAATTCTTAAGTAGGTTCAGCTTGACTTTCTTTTACTGCATTTTTGAGATGATACATCTCCCCTTTTGAGTTGCATGTGCAAGTCAACTGTTCTTTCTCTTCATTATTGTTGTATCCATTGAAATGTGTGCCCAGTGGAAGCCTCAGATAGGTGTAGTAGGCATTCATTATAGTTAAATCTGCCTTCATACTTTGACAGTATTTTCACCCAAAAATAATTTCATATTTTTTTATTCTTGAATTCTGGTTGACTGCTAGTACGTAGTATGTATTTCAATATACATTACTGATATAATAGTATTTAATTATTGCACTCTGGTAACATCAATTGTTGAATCTTTTGTTTTTCATTGATGGCTGCTCAAGCTGTAATATGAATTAGAGTGTCGTTAATCATCAAATAACCATCACTTGTGGAGTCTCTTTACTACTCCCACAGTCTAGTGCTTCCATGGGCATATTGAGCCATATGGTCTATTGAGTGGAATACAAACTTGGGAAGAAAAAAGTAATCATGAGTTGTTACTGAAAGGGTAATGTGTTGTGCCTCAGGTGATTGATCAGTTTTTTTATGCTCATATTTTATACACCGGGGGAGGGTATTCTTCTCGGTATAAGAGCTCATTAATTGGGACCTTCTATTTGCCCTTCACATTTGTCTGAGGGATGTTACACTCAAGATTAAAGGTTGTTACTGTAACTTATGTGTAACACCAAAAAAAAAAAAATAATAATAATTACTTGCATCAAAATAGCTCCTGCATCACTATAGTAAACCATGATGCGGTTTTTAGGCAATGAGGTTTATATCTCGGCAGTTTTATGAAAGGCCTCGGACTAACCAATTTTTCCATTCCCCCGTTTATGAAGTTTTGGTGTGTACTGCAGCATGTAAATGAAAGGAAGATGAAGTTTTAATTTTACAGTTGAGCTTCCTTTTGAGAGATTCTTTCATAAGTTTTTGCCATCGTGGAGTGGATTTTTTATTAACAATTTGTGCTTTCTAACACTATTGATTTTGTGAATTTTAACATGCAGTATTACCTTAACTTTAGATAATTTACTGTTCCAAATCACTTTTTTTTCTTTTATGTTCAATGGTTTACTTAAACTTCACAGTTAAATAATTCAGTCTCATTGATTTTATCTTACATTGGGAAATGCCAAGTGGTTTTATGTAAATGATCTATGTCTTGTGCACCCTCTGTTGATCATCCATTTCTCAGTATTCACCTTATGAACAATTTGGCTGAATTTTAGTTAAACTTGATGCAGGTGTTCCTTATTATAATTCATAGTTGTCCTCTCAAGCAACAGTTTCATTTCTCACACCCATGTGTGAAGACATTTTTTACTTATAACAACAGCTCAAAGCAGAAGCTCATATCTCTTATCTGGATTGGAATTTCCTGTTACGAAGAAAAATTTTAATCTCTGGAGAGGAAATCAAGGGTACCCAAAGGTATCTTTTTCATTTCCCAACAATTTATTTAGCAAATTTCTTCTGGGGTGATTCAGTTCCCTTTTCAGTGGATTTAAAGCTTTCAGAGAATACAAAAACAACATCTAAAGGCAAACTAGAAATGAACATCTATCAGTCTCTGTGGATGGAATGGTATAAATTTCTAAAACTGGCACATACAGATTCCTGGAAAAGCATTTTTAAATATTGCTCCATTTTACATTGGATCTCAATATTCCTGTAGGTCCTGTATGTGTGTCTCAACCCTCGGTCTTTCTTTGGCTTATGAACCATGGAGCCTTGGCTTTTGAAGCTTACAGTGGGTATTCCTTATGATAACTTTGCTAAGACTGACCTTTGTTTGGCTTCCTTGGTAACTCTGGTTTCCATGCCGACAGTTGTAAAAACTTAGATTTGAAAAGTTGATACATGTGATTGTTAGTAAAGGGGTATCATGCATTTCAGTTTTCTTTAGAGGTTTCTGTTATGTAAAAGGACAATGTAAAAAATAGACAACCAATTTTTTCAAAATCTGATCATTTTGAACCGCCTTTATTGTCAATTGGTACACAAGGTGATTTTGGTACGAAATATGAATTATCGTACTGTACTCATGAATGCATCCTCCTCACGACAAGCCAACCAAGCCAACTTCGGCTCGTAAGTGCTCATATTTTCTCTTTATATTTTCTGTATTCTACTTTCCATTTGATCTGTTTGTTCATCCTGTTGCCTGTGGCATCCTTAACTTTTTATTTTTCTCGTATGTGTTACACTAGAGAACTATAGTCGTCTTTAATAGCTACTGATTATTTCCCTCATCTTCATTTGGATGACCCAATCCTTGCTTACAGACATTATCTTCTTATCTTCATTTTGGTAAACCTTTGAGACACTACTTGATCCCCTTTATTTATTTATATTTATTTTTATTTATTTATTTTATTTTATTTTTCATTTTTTTTTTTTTTAGTGTTGGTGTCCATGTGGTCTCTAATTCTTTGTTTATTACACAAAAAACTCTTCATTTTCTATCTTAATTTGTTCATCAAATACCTGGGAATCTGGAGTATTACTGTATTTGTAAAATCTTTTACTAATACTTTTGTTTTATTTTTTGTATGTTTCAGTGTAATGCCAAGAATATTAGGTTAATAACTATGAACAATTTGCTGCCGTCATCAATAAAGATGCACCAGAGGTACGATCTGAAGGGCTCCACCTACAAGAGGAAGGTGAGTCATAACTTATATTACTCAGTGCTGTGAATGTTAGTCTTGACTCACTCATTGAGAAATGGTTTTGATCCACTCAAGATGATGCAGCTGATGACTAATTTGTTTGTCATCCAAATTCCCATTGGTTCAGTACTGTTGTGTATTTGTATTCTAAAATATATCTCATGAAGCTTACTGTTTTTTATTGGTCTCTTGATGTCAGTATTATTTTGTTTCATTATTTCATGTTTAGATGCCATGTTAAGTTAATTTTCTATTAATTAATTTTCAGAGATAAAAGTAAGCAATAAAAAAGTCCATGGGTAAATGCAAGTTTTCATTAGAGGCCATTATTTTAATCCAAATACTTTACAGTTGTGTATAAACATGTACTGTACTGTTGTGTTTTGTGAGTGAACTTGGTGATCATATGTACTGTACTCTTTTCACTTGCTTTTCATGGATGGGGATGTCTTTACTGCATCAGCTTATGTTTTTGCTGAAGGTTAAAAAAATAGTGTTTGCAAAATTCATACCGGGTACTAAAAATTGAAAACAAAAATATTAAAGAACATTTGATTCTGTAGTTTATTCTATGGTGATACATTATATATTTGTTAGGTGACCAAAACAAATTGGATACTTATAAACTGTACATGTATAGTTAGATGTTTTAGTGATCACATTTTTTTTTATTTACAGGCGAGTAAGTACGAGCGTAGCAAAGACTCACCCACGTTTAAGGATCTAGACTTTATGGAACATCATCCTGATGGCATCCTTTTGGAGGCTGAAACCTACAAGGCTCTCATCAACACTATTGCCAGGGATTGTAGGGTAATTATTGTTTTATTGTACTTAGTACAAGTTATGCTGTAGGGTATTATGAGGTTACATAATGGATGTAGCTAAAGAGATAATAGGTGTTGAATTCAATGTAACTTTCTTTATTTCTTGCAGGTATTAACATCATTCAAGATCATGGATTACTCTTTGTTGGTGGGCATTCACAATTTAGACCAGGCAGCAAAGAAGAAAGCAGTAAGTGTCATCTATATTATTTAATTGTACAGCTCAACGGTGATTGGTATTTATCTCCATTCCCATAATAGATTATATAATTGGCAGGCATGTTCTCTATGTCCCTGTGAGTGTGTGCATTTGTTCTTCTCTACAACACAATAACTTGAACAAATATTAATGGATTTTAAACGAACTTGTTACAGTAATTAGATGTATCACAACAAGATTTCAGGTATGTTTAATATTCAGTGTTTATCCATAATTGTAATCTACAGTTAAATCCTCTGGGTCTTTGCCAGTGTGTACCAGGGAAGTTTTGCACCTTTAGTAGCAAGAACTTTATTTAGCTAAATATTTTTGAAGCACCTGAAACCTGGCACAGTAGTCTTTGGCCCGGCAGATACTATACCCTTAATGGAGCAAGGATTATTATTTATATGTATATTATTTTTTTTTAGTTAGTCCTATTGTAGTATTTTTTAGTATTCTATATGTAGCTGAGTGCAGTTGTTACATCATTAAAACTATAAGATTGACAGGGAATGAAGGGAGAGGTTAGGCTTACTCATGATTGGAGCCACCTTGTTTTATAGTTTGAAAGACTGAGGGAAAAGAATTATTTTGTTCTTTGAATTATCTTTCCACATGTAAATTTGACTCCTTTTGATCAAATTATCTACCTTCACCCTCTGTATTCTGGAGTGTGAATTTGTGAGGTCTTACTGTAAACATGTATACTGCATATAACTATTTCAATGCTTTTCTTGCTATTGTGCTTTTGCTCGTCATGGCCTTTATGTGTAAACTCTGATATTTTTCGTGTTCAGCAAGAAAAAGAGAGAAGGTTAAATGGTGGTGACGGAGGTACAGCGGAAGATGGGAGTGGAGAAGGTGCTGAAGGGTCCAGTCTTACCCGCTCACGATCCATCAACAGACACAAGCTAGTGGCTCACTCAACAGCCATGGAATCTATACAGGCAGATTCCGATCCTATAGATGAGGAAGATCAAGTCCCGTAAGTTAACTTGATGGTTTGTGAAATTGGAAAATGTAGTAAACTCCTGTTGTATTCGAGCCATTAGTTTCACGATTCTTTATTTCACAGCAAATTAATTGGTGAATTTATTGTTATGTCATGGATGATTATTGATATTTTGTCTTCTCTGACAAGCCATCAAGCTCCTCTCCCTCTATGACTCCTCACCATGGTACTGCTGCATACATATCATTAGCGTCCAGGCTTCATCTATAGTAGACATGATATTGATGGAGTTGCCTTGTTTTCATAAAAAGAGGTAATATAGTACTGTACTGTACTAGATATTTTATTCTTTATGATTACCTAGATATTTTAGTTTTATTAGACAAATATTCTGATATTTACAGTGATACCTGTACCTGAATAAGTAGCATTGACTGCTGGAAGACAAAGTTTAGAGGTACTGTATCACTGACTTGGCACTTTTCTGATGGAAGACACTGAGGCTTGGTGTCCCTGCAGTTATGACAACAAAAATGTACACTCTCCCATCACTCACATTTGTGGATATTAACATACATTTGCTTCTTATTTTTATCTTCCACAAATCAAATACATCTTACAAATTCACCGAGGACCCACAGACACCTCATCTCACACTGTGATTAATGGGCAGTGCTTATCAAGATGTTTTGGAATAGAGACCACTTTCCTCTTTCAAAATAGGAATAATGGTGATGAAAACATGGCAGCACCCAGTTTATTGTCAAGGTTTGGAGGAGAAAGGGGTGTTACTCATTTTCATATTTGCCATAAGTAATTGGAATTTGGAATCTAGTGAAAATTTTTTCTTAAATAATGGTATTTTTGTTTTAATCTGTGTTGGAACACACCGTCTCCCAGAATATGTGGTGGGAAAAAAAAAAAGCTAACCAACCATTAAAGATCATATTACCAGAAATTTTTCATCATTGCACATTTGTGTGGATAGCTCGTTGCTTTCCTGGTACTAAAGATATTCCCATTCATAGTTCTGAACAACTACGCTCAATAATCCCACCAGTGCACTCCCTCAGTTTGCCTTCAAGAGCACTTGAATGGGCTCACAATTTCTCTGTTGAAATTTTGCTTTGCAGAACCTCTGCCTACCAAAACCTTAGCCACAAAGTGATTATGTTATATAACCTCCATCAGTTCAAATCATCCTGTGTAAAGTATCTACAGTATTTGGCAAGGGGATGCCTCATTGAATTGATTTGACAAAAATGCATGTTTAATTTCTCCCTGCCCTTTTTAATTGAATTTTTTTTCAATAATTGTAAGATTCACAATTGTTGTAGTAGGGTATGCCAATACCAACTACAATCTCTCTCTCTCTCTCTCTACAGATGGTTACCAGTTTTTGACATGTGTAACAGTCCTTTTATAGTTTCTTTGATATACCCTCATATAATATTTAATGCAATAGTATTTCTTTAAGCTTTTCGGTTTCATTGCCAGTTTAGTTTTCAAACCATGATTTGACATCACCAAGTATTCAAAGTTTTCTTGCAAAAGTAATCTCATTGTGTGCACATTTTACAGGCCTGGAGGTATTCCTGCAAGGAATGCAAAAGGAGAGCGTTTATTACTCTTCTTGGGAATCATTGATATTCTTCAAAGTTTTCGTTTAAAGAAAAAACTTGAACACACATTCAAGTCAATGATCCATGATGGGGTGAGTACAAAGAGCTTGTCATATTTTAGCATTCAAGAGGTAAGCTTATTATATACTTTCTTGAATCATCTAATTTGGATTGTAAACTAAAATATAAAAATTTCCCATCTGTGTGATAATGAAACTAGGATTCAGATTCTTTAATTTTGGAGGTGGTGTCATAATTGATAGAAAATATAGTAATAGCAATTTTCCATACCACGCCATCCATATACAGCTAGACCCCGACTTATGACGGGGTTAGGGACCCAAATCCAGGTCGTAAGTCCGAATGGTCGTAAGTCCGACATAGATAAAAAAAAAAATTAAATTAAAAATCTACAATGAAATACAGTACAGTAAAAGTAATAAATAATGAGGAATGGATACAGTACAGTGAAAGTAATACATAATGAGGAATGGATACAGTGTGACTGAGCACTTACCTTTAATGGAGTCACCTGAATGCACATGGGGCCCCCATAATTTTCTAATTATACATGGAGACTACATTAGCTGGAAACGTTTCGGTATAGAAAATGCGTGCGTCATTTAAAAAAAAAATGGTCACAACTGCGGCGGTCGTAAGTCGAAGCAGTCGTAAGTCGGGGTCTAGCTGTATATATACTGTATATATCACTCCTCTGTCTTGTTCCCTCATCTCTTCAAACATGACAAAATCATTTATATTTTCTTCCACTGAACAGTAAGGTGACTCGTACAGAGCCCTCGCTGATGACTGCACTTTTGAAAGATTTCATCATATACCCATTTCATATTTCTATATTGTCTTCCTGAGCCCATGTTAGGCTTTCTTATTGCTTGTAAATTAAAGCTCAGATCATAATTCCATCACATTCTTTCCCTTTTTAATCATTCCAATATTCTGAAAACCTTGTAACATGCTCATTTCTTCCCTTTGCATGCATTTTTAATCAACTAAAAATAATAATTTAATTAGTAACCATGTTATGAAATAAAACATATGAGGTACAGTATACAGTACTGTATTGTACTTTAAATTTCATTGTGAAGAATAACATAACCTTACAGGTTTAAGAAATAATGTCTTGTACATATACAGGTTACATTATGAAGTTTTTATAAAGTTTCACTATTTTTCATTGTGAAGTGTCCCAATTCTAATGTGTCACCTTGTTACAGGATACTATATCAGTTCATCGACCAACCTTCTATGCTCAGAGGTTCTTAAAGTTCATGGAACACACTGTCTTCAAGAGAATCCCATCACGTAAGTTATTAAAGATACATTGTATAGGAAGTATCTTAGAGATGTTCAAAGATGTTCATATCCTTTTCACATCATCTGAAGTATATTGTGGATAGTGTGTGCATTAACCCCGAGTACAAAGACATAATCCCAATGCTTACAAGTTAGTGCAGCAGCAGATCCCAAGTCCTGCGTAAGTAACTTATTTTCTAAAGTTTGAGGATTTGCCTAGAGCTCGACGAATACTCCTTATTGGGACTTGAAGCTAAAGAACTTATCATTACGGAGACTGTTTGCCCTAATTGCAGTTAATCATCTTCACTGCAGATGGAAGATTTAACCAGAGTAATCATAGAGGATTCTCATGCCAGGGCTTTTTCTGCTAATCATCAAGTATATGGCAAGATTTAGTCTCACCCATGCTGATCATGCTTATCCAGATTTGTCATGAGAGTAATAATTTTAGCTTTGGTTTGTCATGTGTTGTAATGATTACTTTATTATCTTGGATAATCTTATTCTGCTATGTTTGTTTCCATTGGTTATCATTGAAGGCAGATTAGATTTTACTCTTTGCTCAGATTACTGTGTTCAAATCTTCTGCTTAAATTTAATTAGTAAAATATTGTGGTGTGTTAATGCATTAACATTTGAGTAAACTAACCAGAAATAAATTTTAATTGCTTGCTCTTTCTATGATGCTAACTAACATATGTGCATATTCATTTGAATTGAATTGCTTAACTTTTTTCTTTCTTGCAACAGTTTTGATCACAATATAGTCATAGTTTGTCCTAAAGGCTAAATTTGGACCAGAGTTCTTTATGGTAACAAATTGAAATTTTTTTTAAAATATAAACAAGCATTGGTACACAAACCTCACTTGTTGTGTTCCCAGATGTTATCCAGGATGTCCAGTTTCAGTTTTTCACACACAGCATGGGAAAGCCACCTGACAATCTACCTTTTATTTAGGAAACTGATGGTTATCAACTTTGCTACAACATTTTGGAACTTGACAATAGGGTCATGGTCAGACATTGTTTGTTGTGGTGTGTAAAGTTTATCCAGATAGTTTTCAATTTATTGTTGGATAAACAAACTACATCAAGTGTGGCTGTAAATACCTTTCACCTGCTTGGTCAGCATTTTCCTCTTCCAGTCATTGGCCTTCTTTGGTGGGTTTTGGTTATGTATTTTGGTGTCAAGGAGATCAAGGTCATCAGAAACTTTAGAATTCTATTATTAATTTGCCCAGACAGTTTGATGAAGGAGGATATAGAGGTGATCATTATCCCTGTGTATACCTGCCTCCAACTGTATGAACTCAATAACCTAATGAAATGGTAATAATTTTTAACCAAACTTGGTACACAGTTACAAACAGCATCTCAGATGTGTTCAGTAACATGATCCATATTTTGAGGGATTCATGGCCCCTTGAACTTTAATATGGCTTGAGGAAGGATGGGAGGAGAATTTGTGGCAAATATTTTTGTAGAAATGTGTAATGTACCTAAGAATGGATGATGGCACATGTTGTACCAGCTTGTAAATGAGTTAGGCAGAGTGGTAAATTATTCTGGTGACATAAGGAAGAAGATGTTACACTGAATGAGACTGTGTAAAGAGTATGTAGAGGAACTTCAATTGATCGATTACTTAATATATTTGGGGTCATTATCAATCAAGATTAACAGGATGAAGTAATGGAGGTGCCTAAGAAACCTTTGGTAAATCAGATAAATTAAACATGGAGAGTGACAAAAGGATGTGTGAATTGTTGCTTGTTCCAGTTCTTCAATCTGGATGTGTAAATTAGTGTCCAAAGAAGAGCTGATTACATGAAGAGTATTGGAATGAGGAACTAATGCTGCAGTATAAAGATCAGGATAATTGACGAAGATAGATAAGGAATTTGGAGTGAAGAAGGGCTGGTCCATCCCACCCTTTTCCAAACCACCCTCTTCCATCGTATCCTATTCACCCAGCCTTTTCCATTCTATCCTGTTACATCTGCTGAGAAGAGATTTATTCAGTAGTGGTCGTGACACATCTCGCCCTGTTTCATACTATCCTGCGATCCAATCCTGTTACATGCTACCCTATTCCATTCCAACCAGTTTTATCCAACCTTATTCCATTCCACTGTGTTCTAACCCTCCCTCTTCCATACTATTAAGATATAATAGAGTTAACAATTAGATGTAGAGATAAAACAAATTTTTTTAGATGATGTTATTCAAGTATATGTACACCAATATCAGCCTGTTTTATTATTATTCTCTGTTGCAATATTTGCCCATACAATCTTTTGTGCAAAATGCATTTTATCACCTCTTGAATGTGATGGTTCAGATAAATAGAAATACATAATGGTGAAACTAGTATGTAGGTGTCACCCAACAACTTCTCGAGTGTGCATGCTTGATAGTAGTGTGTATTTCTACTTGGCAGTCTGGAGAGTTGTCACCATCTTTGTCTTTGCGGCAACAGGAGATCCTGGACCCTTACTGTCAACTTCATTGTATACAGTATTAGAATAACTGAGGCATAAAGATTAATAACTGTAGTGTATGATTTGCAGTTAATTGGTTTTAACATGGTTAGCTTCTCTTCATTACTGTGTAAACATTTTTGACTGTCTCCCTTTAAGTGAGATCTTAGTGAAACATTGATCATGATCAAAGCAATTGTAAGAGAGAGAACATCTGAGGGGAAAAAATCACCTTCTCATGTAAATGGCTGTGATCAAATCAAGAATATGTTTGCCCCCACCACTCTCATTCTGACCTGCTACATTACAGGTAGGAGCCTGGAAATGATTTTTGTCCATCTATTCATCATTGTTATGAATGCAGTTTCTCAAGAAAAAACTGAGCTAGTCTTGATTGTAGGTTTGCCTCAGCTATTTGTCGGCCTTGTGAAGTATTTTCTCTCCTTATTTAGGGGAGTCATGGCCAGTTTTGTTTCATTTTGTGGTCCATGTTTGGCAGGGGATGTAGATCTACTGGAACTTATTTTTCCTGGTGTATTTTCCCTGAAACTCAATGTCCTGGATACTATTTAGGACTAAACAGGCAAGGAGGTTGTCTTACACATGCAGATATCTGTTCAGTTTTCTAGTAATATCCTCTTTGTTTCCAATGGAAGATGTGGGGCAATTTTGATATTTTGAGACGTACTTTGTTTGACTTGATGAAAGCTGCTTCTGCAAGAAGAGAAAAGGTGTCACTCATACCTCTGACCTTCCTTTTGAAGGGATGTATTATTACTTAGAAGTTAATGGAATACTTCATAAATTTGCTAGCTATACACTGAACAATATGCTTCTCTTATCTTTATATTTGAAACTTTATCATAATTGTGTTAACTAAGAAGCTGGTATTATTATTTAATGAAAGAGGTCCCAGTCATAATATCATTATATGGATGCTAAACTATGGATTAATTGAAGGTATAAAATTAATATTTTTAATTCTACCTTATTGAATGAAGTATCACGTTTGTTAATTAAATGTGTTCTTTTAACTGTTAATCAGCTTAGCAATTGGCCTACCTCAAAACTTAAAGAAATGTGATCATTTTGTTTGCTGCACTTTGTAGAAATTCATCTCCCTTGAAGTTTATAAGTTTACCTTACTGAATTATTTCTAGATTTTAGTAAAACTTTTCATCTGAGTATTTCAGAGCACCTAATAAAAGTTCAGATTTACACTTAGCCTGAAAACTTGAGATACAGAGTGATTTTGTTGAATACTTTGAGAGAAAGTAAGTAAAGTTCCTTTATGAAACCTTAATTGATTCTCCCAAAATGCTGATGGGGTCAATGTTGCACACTTGGGATAGATGTTGTTTTACTGAAGACCTGTTGGCAGTGCTGTATCATAGATTGACTGTGGCCTTTTCTTTCTCATGCTTGTGTCTGTGTGATGTGACTGGCAATTTGAAGCATTGGTTGGTTCATGGGCAAGGCTTTCCTTCTTCCATATTTTTAATTCCTTTTATCGGGAAAGTACTAAGCTCAGAACGCTAACTGAGGCCTTAGATTGTCTTTTCACGTCACATATGTATTATGTTTTCATGTTGCCCGGGACGCATTTGTAGACTCATCGGTTTCTCACCGTCCATGCTCTGTTTCACGTTTAGCCTCTGGATATTTCTTGCACTGCTTTGTTTTTATGTTTTTGTCCCACAGGTTTTGTTCTTGTTTATTCTTTGTTGTTAGAGCGTGAGTAAGAACAGGCCGAACTGTCCTTGCAAATTGAGGTGTTTTCGTTGTCTTTCCTTACACACGGGTGTGAGGATATCGATTTGGCTCATTTAAGTTGTATCAATTTTTGTTTTTGTTAATGGGCAGCAGATAGTTCTGGTGAACTAATACACTGTTAAATAAATTTGCCCAAGGTGTGTGCTATTCATAAAATTTCTTGTGTCTAAGATAGTAGAATATATCAAATCTCATAACTTCATGAAATATACTCCGTTAATAAATAATATATATTTTGATTTTAGTGTTCATTTTGAGACTGCAACATGTTTTCAGTTGTAGAAATTTTACTGAAAGGTGAGTGATGGTAGGAGATTAGACGGAAATATGTTGAACTATGTGAAAGTAGGATAAGGCTTTTAACAGTGCTTATCATAGGCTGTGCTAGTAAAGGAAACTTGTGTCATATATGTATATGTGTCTCAAATAATAGAAGTTCATCTTGATGTAAGTTTGGAGAAAACTAATAAAATTCTGGATGTTAACATGTAAATAGGATATTAAAGTGTAGAAGGCCATGATGGGAGACTGTGTTTGCTTGTAACTGTATAAACAATCCAAAAAATTTTGTCTTATATATGACAGCTCATCATATGATAATGAAGAAAACTATGTGTTTGGCATCTTTTTCCAATAGTTTAGAATCTACATAAAATTTAAAGTTAAAAATATCATTGCTTTACTCTGAGATATTTGAGTGCATATGGTCACTTGATAAATTAAACAGTCTTTAAATCTTTTGAGTCCTCATTGAAGGATTGAGCCACAGAATGTTGTCAAGGTTGATGATTGGTGACATTGAAACATTAATTTAAACTAGAAGGCACTCAAAGTAAGACAGTAAGTAGAACACAGTCTGCCATTTTAGAGGCTCTTGTAGAGGGAGATTGTGGGAGAGATCTACATTGCTTCTCTCGTATTTGTGGTGCCAACTTTTGGGAAGAACACAGCCTGTTTGCACCTTTGACTCGGGGCTCAGATTGGCTTGGCTTGTTGCTGTCTGTGGCGACAACCAAGAACTGCAACATGAGTAACAAGCCGTTGTGTCGGTGCCTGCAGGGGTTCTCTAACTAACATACACTGTTGTTTTGCTTGCTCTGTTGTGCTCCCTCCCGTTCATTGGTTGGTTGGGTGGTTGGTCTCTTACCACTAGTGGACCTTCCAGAAATCAAAGGCGGCCACCGCAAATTCCGAAATCTGGTCTCCAGCTACATAGGTATGATGACCCACATCTCTGACACTTCTACATTTCATCTCCATAGCCCCTTTATCATCTCTGAGCCCCCCACCCCACCCCCTTCTCCTCTCCTACATTGCTTGACTTTTTATTTCTTTCCTGCCTCTTATTATAATATACTGTTATCACTCTTTCTTATCATTCATTATGGTGCTTATGATGTATGGATGTATACATTTTAAGTCTCCCTCTATGCTTTTATACTTTTCCTTCCCCTCCATCAGATGTCCTCAGTTTCATCTAGCCCTGACTTTATCCCTCTTTTAATCCTTTTTAAGATAATTTCATTTTACTATGTCTGGCATCATTTATTTTGCAGTTTTCTTCTTCGGTTTCAACCATCCCTTATTTTACACACTTTCCTTACATTGGGATATAATTGTTTACCTTTTCTTTACTATGTGTTTTGCAGGTCAATAATCTTACTTTTTTATCATGTTTTCTTCTTAGTCATTTGATCTTGTCTTCTCCAGTCACTCCTTAATATCTGTCTTTTCCACTGGGTGTTTCTCAGAGTAACTTAACAAAGTTTGTGTGTGTGTTTCCATATATTGATCTTTTGTATTTTTTCAGTGTGTGTGTGTGTGTATGCGTGTGTCTTGAATGCCCTATCTTTTCTGCTGCCTTATATTATTTGTTTTCCACTATCCTGTTCTTCATTTTCTCACCAGTTTATTTCTTTATTATCATCTACTCTATACTTTTCCTTTCGTCATTTCTTCTTGCTTTTTTTTGTCATTAATTGGTATGCCGCATTGTTATATATATTTTTCAAACTCAATTTTTTTCCACTATATCTTTGATCCACTTCATATTATCATTTACATTTACATCTTATCTTCACGTGTATCATGTTTTATCATCCCTCGCGTTATACCATGCCCAACCCATTATATATATATATATATATAATATATATATATATATATATATATATATATATATATATATATATATATATATATATATATATATATATATATATATATATATATATATATATATATATATATATCAGAAAAACACGTGACTTCTTCCACCCAAACTATTACTGTAGGAGAATACGTAGTATACATTATGTAGTTTATACATTTCTTGCTGTGCTTTGCATGATCATATAGTGAGGTGAACAGCCGGCTCGTGTGTATGTGGACGTCTTTTCCCATTTGTCTTGCATCATTAGATAATCTTTAGGTCTTCCCTGATGTCATATGTGTCGTATCATCTAGATATAAATGTCGCAAGTTGAGCTCATGACAGCATCTTGTTCTGATGTAGATTCTTGGATATTATTTTAAACCGTGTTGAATACTTTCTTTTGTTTATTTGATGCTCACTTATGTTCAATTTTTTTTGGTGATCTAGACATAAAAACTTTTGTTAAATGTTCTGGACACTGTGTGCTCATTTACAAGTGCCATCCTATTTCAAATAATCAATCACACATGCTTGTGATCAGTTGTTTAGAACTGCCTGTTGCTCTGTTTAAATATTAAGTAAACACACCAAACCATTTCTTTATGATATAAAGTTCTTAGTAGAGTCCAGAAGAGAGAGAGATGGTTATTCAAGTATATCTCATAAAAAAAGCTTCTTTATTTATGAATCAAGGTACTGTATGTTAAACAGCTATTGAAAATTATGTCTGGTATGATAGTGGTGTATTTTGTGTCCTAATAATAGCTATATATATATATATATATATATATATATATATATATATATATATATATATATATATATATATATATATATATATATATATATATATATATATATATATATATATATATATATATATATATATATATATATATATATATATATACATCTTGATAAAATCACACGGGAAAAGGGAAACAACGGAGCAGCTTAGCTTTCGTCTTTATTCAAGACATCTTCAGAGGCAACTGGATTACATGGACAGAGAGAGGTTTGAATATACAGGGTGACCTTATTGAACATGAGGTCAGGTCATAATGATGTCATCCACTAATCCCCACACCAACACACGTAGAGCTTAAGAGAAGGGGGCGACGTGATTAGTCAGGTCAGGTCACAAATAAGGGACCCACTAAATATATATATATATATATATATATATATATATATATATATATATATATATATATATATATATATAAAATACTGTACTGTATACTGATCAGAGAAGGGATGTCACATTATTATAGGAGAGAGGATGGGAAAATAATGTCAAGTTGAATGGTATAATAAGAGCAGAAGCTTTTATCAAACAGTGAGAACTTTTTACAAGGTGCCCATAAGTAAATGGTATTTCTACTAAGTTGGATTTTGCATAGTAAAACAAATATGAAGATGATTGCACTTGGGAAAAAATAGGTTGGTTTTGTAGGGGCAATCGTATAACACCGTCATAACATGACAGTGGATATCTGTCAAGTGAACTGAGCTTTAAGATATAGATAGGAAATACATGCTTTTATATATATATTTATATGTTACTCTTGATCTTTGACTAGAAGGGTTTACATATTTATGCTAATGTGAAAACTACAATTACATTTTATGTACTGTACACTACTGTATTAATAGAAATAAACAAGCTCTTTTCATGTGCTGACCATCTTCATCAGCTCATCTTAAGTAGGAAGGGGCATGTTGGCCTGTACAGTAATGGTTTTCACTACTCATTCATAAAACTCAACCAAAGTTTTATTATGGAATGTAATTGTAAATAACTATTAGTGCAAATTTTGCATATAACATTGTTTTTGAAGGAGGCTGGTGTTGAAACAGGTGTTCTATTTGAGTTTTATTATACTTTATTTAAGTTGGACTCTCTTGCATGTAGTTTTATTTTATTACATTGTACAGTATGTAAGTTGTCCTGTTTTCTAAATTTAGGACTTTGGAATAAATATTTTATTATATTTTAGTTCATGTTGCATGGTGTATTGTTGTTTTAGAACATGTCAAAAATATGTCTAATCTCGTCTCTGCATCCTGGGTGAGCACGCCTTCTCTGCCTCATGTGATGGACAAGACAGTCCCTGTTTGTCATGTCATGTATGTTTAAGCTTTTGTCTCTTAATTTAAGTGGAACCTGATGCTATGATTAAATGATTAAATGATAAATTGATCATGCAAGGGCAATGTATATTATCTGAACTTCGGACACTGATCATCGTGAAAGTAAATTTGCTCTCAGTCAAAATGTTGAAGTAAACTGTAATCCAGCAGGGATCAGTTAGGTCACTGAACCACTTATAAATTACTTATGTAATATTTAACTTTATATTAGGATTCTTGGCTTTACAATTACAGTACTGTACTGTTATGGATTTGTTGCTGATGGTTGGTGCTGTTTACTGTGATATGACGGGGGTAAGCCAGTTTGAAGTCATAGGGCTGTATTCTAGAAAAGAGACATCATCGTAGAATGCATCTGTTAACGTACTGTATACAGTGGGGTATGCTATAACGAACGGATTCTACTACGAATATTCCTATAACGAACGGTTTTACCTATAAAATTGACAATGCTATAACGAACGAAACTCCTACAACGAACATGGTTTTTTTTTTTTTTTTTTTTATACTAATTTATTGTTTTTTTTATTACAAGTATTAATGATATTCTTTATTTCAGGGGTTTAGATGCATATTTATGCATGTTTTACAATTTTATATTGTATTTTTCAGTGTTTAGTGGTTGTATTTGGGGGCCTGGAACGCATTAATCCTATAACGAACAAGGTTCTAGAACCAATTAGATTCGTTATAGCATACCCCAGAGTATGGAACTGGCTTGAGAATATGATGATGTCTGACAGTAATACATGGCAGTTTACCTTTTCATAGCAGTGACGGCAACTCATGGTTATTACCTGCTGGAAGAGGCAATATCAAAATTAAAATAATAATGATAATGTGAACACAGGGGGTCCTCACTATATGTCTTACAGGTTTACGTCATTTCACATGTACATCGCTAACAAATATAGGCAGAAATATTCATGATATGATACATCAATTGTTTCACATATATATGTCGTTTACATCATCCACGGTTTTATACTAAGTTTGTGTGTACCCAAGTATGACACATAAATCATGATAAAGGCATAAAAATAACCATAATAAGTAATAAAAGTGCCCTACGTACTAGTGTTACATTTTTACCACGCCAAAATACATCGATCACCTCTTACACAATTGAGCGCTACGTCATTGTTATATGTGTGTAAAAACAGAATTTGCAGAAAAGTCATTACAGTTTGCTAGTGTGCCTTATGTATACTGTATGGTAATGTAAAGATAAAAAAAAAAAAAAGTTTAGGGGTATATTGAGTATAAAATTATCATAGCACATGGGCACTTGTTAGCCATGAGAAGGCAGTGCACGTACCATTGTTACATGAGAAACTTATAAAAGTTGTGGTACTGGGTTAATAAAATATCGTAAAATAATCAATTGAGAAAAACACCTACACCCAACCCCAGATGAGGTATTGCTTTGTATAAAATTTCTGTTGCTTCTTTATAAAGTGCGAACAGGAGTAACAGAGGCTTTATTGGGATGAAACTTAATGTTTGGATGAACATCATCTAAAAATGCAGGATGGCCAGGTGCATTGTCAGGTACAGTACTAATAAAACCAGAGTTTGTCTTTCAAAATTGTTCCGATTGTTCCGACTGAAGGCCATCAGGTTTGTGTGTGGGAGCCATGAGGAGGGCAGAAAAATAAAGTTAATAAGCAAAAAACAACAGTTCGCATCTTGATCACACACATAACTGAGGTGAGGGTAAGGCGTACTGACACGCCCTCAAGGCACATGGCTGGGTGACGCATTACTCCCCACCTGCTGCCGAGCCTCACAGAGGGTGTTTGTAAGTTGAACATTCATAACTCGGGGACCCCCTGGATATGTAGGGGAGGATCTTGCATGTGTTGTCATTTTATATATGATAAATGAGATTTAAATTGCAGATGCACAAGTTGTGTTGTGTAATGATATGCTTAGGACGTAAAATACTTGTATCTTATCAAATATCTCAACTGCCAGAGGAAATTTATTACTAACCTGCTTCCTCTGATAATGATGGACAGTGGACCTCAGATATCATTTGTATACCAGTTGTTGTGTTAGTATGTAATTATCTTTGACTTTATCAACTTGCTGTTGATCATGTTCCACTACAGGCTTGGCTTGTGTGCTGTATAAATGTTATGTTGATCTTTCGTTGCATGTCATCCTTGCTTCATGTAGTGTGGGTTTGTATGCTCTCTTCCTTCAGCCTTATGTTTCACAAATTTGAAAGCTGTCCAACATGCTTGTAAGCTTGCATCCCAACTACTTTTTAGAATTCACCTGTTTTGATGGTTTTCAAGGGGGGCCATACAGTATTCCAAAGATGTTATGTACTATATTTTATTTAAATAATGCAAAGACACGTAGTTGAATGACCAAACTGAGGACAGCAGTCAAATAACTTTGTATAAAAATAAGGGTTATTTAATGCTTTGTATAGAATAATCAAATTAGCTTGCTGAATGTATTAAAAATCCCAATACTGTATTGTTTATATTCTTCTCTTATCTAATTTAGTATTTAAGTCAGAAGTCAATTTGGCTCTTTGAAAAACAGAAAAAGGGTGAAGTAGTTCACAGACTGTCCTTTGGTTCAGATGATTTTGTGAAAGATACAAGTACAAGGTGTGTGTCCAGGGTCCCTTTTTTGTACTCTGGATACAGGGAATGTGCATGCCACATCTGCCACCCACACAACATTACCTGCTACAGTACCCAGTCTGATGACACAGCTCACATGGAGATCAGGATTAGAAACAAAAGAAGTGCACCTTCACGCATCACGTGTTGTTACGTTGTTACTTCTGTTTTTTTGGTATTGTGGAAGGTAGAGGGATTATGGTGGCTCCTTCATCCACCAGTTCAGTTGTATTGGTCGCTTTGTGGTATGGCATGGATTTTGAATAGAGTATGTATGGTGATTAATGTTATGTAATAAAAAATGAAATATTTCTTTGCAGCATTATAAGTCTGTAAGCACATCTGGTATGCAGTATTTGCATGTGAATGACAGTTTTCTTAGATAGTTGCTCTTTTATTCTCTTATAATATATGCAGCCACAGACTTTTATTTGTATGGGTTTGCCCAGTTTAGGTTTTTCTTACTTGGTCTACCCTGCTTTATGTGTCACCTGTAGGGATTGACTTGAGTGTAGTGTCATGTTTGAGGGCTGATCACTGCACAGTACTTTCCATGTTGATCTGCCTCTGTGTATCTGAGCTTCAGTAGCTGAGACGTATGTTAACTCAATCCTGCCAAACTTGCTTTGGGCCTCCCTAAAGTTGTCTACACATTGTCTTGTGTAACTCTTTGTGCTGCTGCCTCATCATGCTGTATAACATAACAAATAACCCCCTTACATACATCTATACCTTTTTTATAATTCGTATTTTGGTACTGTAATTTACCGATACAGTTTTATCATCAAACTTTAATGGTTTTGATCTACATTCTTTAAGGCTTGCTTTTTTAATGCTATCTCTTTCATCTCCATTCAGGTCATCTTTAGAAATTTTAGAAAATTAATAATATAATTCAGTAAATGCTAGTCATAGATAAAGTTTTTTTTATTTTTCTAGCTTTCCTAAACCTCAAATTTTTGTCATTATTGTAATTCAAAGAGCATAAATACTTTCATGTAGGTCAATATTGTGATATTTTTCCTTAATTTTAGGAGTAAAATCTTGTGAATTCCACTTTTATCATCAAAACAATTTTAGTGCATCTTTATCTAATGAATTTTGTATTTTACTTGCATCCAATTAGCATTTCAGAGTAACACATCTACAGTTACCCCATCTTTATGTGAGACCATTATCCTTTTAAAGATTCTGATTGTTATGTATAAACAGTTTACATTCCCTCCAGTACAATCTGCCAGTTGTCCTTGTGTCTCTGTGGCCAAAAAAAAAAAAGAAAAAAAAAAAGTAGTTGGCGTGTATGTGCTTCATTATAGTATAAAATACTGAACTGATGCATTACTTTTGTTCCGTTTTTTTTCACTGTTTGCTTAAAAGCTACTGCTGTCTCTTCTGTGCCATTTGTTTTACCAATGATAAGCTTCACCAATAAGTTATTTTTTTAGTACTACATATATTTTAAGTTATTATTTTTCTCCGTACCTGTTTATAACTTCAGTCGTCTGATTTTGTATCTAGTTCTTTCCTCTCTGCAGTATTTACTTGTACACCCTGTAAACATAAATTAAAATGATAATGTACCCATTAATCCAGTGGTTCTATATTTTAATATACTGTACTTGAGTCATAGCCTTGACACGGAGGTAGAGATACTATGTTGTTTTGATGTGTTGAAATATGCTCGGTCAATATTTGCCTTTGGCAGATTGCATGTGAAACCATCAGCACCACATTTCTTGCATGCTGCATAATATATTTAGAGGTCTGTAATTTTGTTCTGGGTTTATGTGAATATACTGCTGGTTGTGTAATCCTGTTCACTGTAACATTGGTGTAGTCAGCGGTCATTAGCGTGCCGTCGTAGGTAGAGAGGTGACAGAACCAGAGTTAAACACCTAGAACTGATCAGGAATGGTGAACCACCAATGTGCATGGTTATTGGTGGAGTATTTTGTTGTCTCACTTAGTCACTCCATTGATACTAACCTTGCTAACTTCAAGAGTATCATGTTGTACTGCATTGTACCATATTGATAATGTTGCCTAATATTGAAATTTATAATTTCTCTGGTTCTATCACTTGAGTTTTTCTATGAAGGAAAAATAGTGTTCAGATTGTTTTTAGGTAGATTTGATTAGTAAGTACGAAGTAATGATTTAGATGTACAGTAAGATGGTTGAAATGGACATTTATTGTCATTTGTGCATTTGCATTCTTCTTTCTAGGTAATCTGTACAAATATTTTATAATCAGAAGCTGTTCATAATAATGCTTTTTGCTATTATAATCAGCAAAAATAATGATTGTTACATATTAATTGCTCTTGATATAGATTTGCAATTCTTATTCTTTGAACTTTGATATTTATGGATAATCTTCCTGATTATTTCTCTACTGTAAATAAACATTGTACTTTTAGAGCATACATTATACTGCTACTACAGTACTGCCTCTAGACTCCTATTACCCTTGCTTTGGTATTTGCTTTGCAGCTTTGAGACACTCGCCATCACGGCGGAGAGGCACATCCCTTCGTATGTTGCGGCCCATGTCCCAGACTGACCCTGAGCATTCAGCTGAAGGGCATGACAGTCAAGAAGGTAATATTTAGCCTTTTTAGTTTGTTGCTGTTGGTGAGTGACTGAGATTTTGCATGGTTGTAGCAGTTCAGAGTTATAAAAGAGTAAGATATTTGGTTCAGTTACATTTGATTGGATAATACTATCGAGACTAATAAACACTCTTTATTTGTTTAATAAAGTAGAGATTTTATTTGACTACCTTAGTAATTGCTTCAATGTAGTAAGTAGTGGTAGTAATTATAACCTCAGGAAGCCTCAACTTAATGTAAACTGTAGATTTATTGCTTTGTAGAAGTGCATCAGTTCTCTAAACTCAACAAAATCCTGCAACATTTTCATCTGCCTAAGGATTCCTGAGGTCTCTTGAGTGTAATGTGAAGAAGATATTTGTAATAATAATTGTTTTATTTCTATAAGCACAGTAATAATACCCAGGGCCACCGAGAGGATGAGGAAGGTTGGATAAATGCCGGGCCTCTGGGATGGGGGGGGGGGGGTAAGGGTGTATAAATATTAATCAATATACTGTATCTATAAAGGGGGCCAAAGATTTATCTTTCCCCAGGGACCTGGCCAGCTATTGGTGGCCCTGATGATACCATGTTGATGGTAATATCCTATACTGTCTGCATATGTTAGGCTGATAGAAATAATTAAGAGATGCATTGGCAGTGATGTTCAAGTTGTAATGTTAAATATGTTTACATAAATTACAAGGGTTAACTAGTCCATGAGGCTAGTGTTTGTTAGTTGCAATGTCATGTTGAGGAATTGGATTGTTTCTCCCTTCAGAAACTGGTTGTTTTTGTAATTAAGGTTTTCACTTCACTTTTGAGGAAGAATTCTATTAACTGTGTTTGTTTAACAGCATGGTATAAATTGGGTTACTTGTAGATAGTTTCAGAGCAAAAATGTTTGAATTTTCTTAGCTGGTGATAGTGGCTTCATATCTATTGGTGACAGAAGGTAGAAGTGAGATAAGGATGAAGGGGAACTATTATATACATAACACTGGTCATCATCTCTTAACTAACACACACTGAAGTAAATCACTGTTTCCTTTTTTGTGTTATGATTATTGTTTCCTACATTTCAAGCAGGTACTTGATCATAGTCTCCAACACATGGGCACTGATTCTGTACTAATGTAGGTGCTGCAGATGGTACATGTTGGTTTGACAACTGTTACATTGGAACACACAATTTGTAAATAAAAAGTTACTGTGAGAAATCAGAGGAAAAAAGAAAAGGTGTTTCAGTGACAAATAGGATTATGTGAAGTTTTTAGTAAAAAAAATTCAGTTTTAATTAAGATAATAACAAGTTTACAAGTAATCTAAAGTCTAAGTTTTATATAGGATAATGCCAATTTTAAGTATAATTTAAGGTTATTTTTTAAATTAATGCCAACTTTTAAGTAGAATAAGGTCAAATTTTGATTAAGGCAATTTACAGTTTTAAGTCTGATGATAGCCAAGTTTTGAAGAAGATAGAGGTAAACCTCAAGATACGCTGGAGTTACGTTCCTGAAAAACCCATCGCTAGGCGAATTATCGTAAATAGGGAGCATTATAACATGGGGTTCAATGGGATATATTCCCAGCCAATCCGCAAACACACATGTATCACCGACAAAACAATTCCTACAATACAACTATCAGTACAAAACAATTAAACAACACTCGTCACATCATATTTGACAAGTCTGGTCATCGTCACATGTCCCCTTCGAGGCTAAGGGGATTCTTGTAGGTGGAATGGAGATGTAACTTTGACTCCCACACAGTCTCTGAGGAGTCTCATGCTGCTTAACAATGTCAAACTTCACCTCAGAGACACAGTTGTCTTGGATGCCTTGGCCTTCCCCGGCATTTTCAAAGTTACACTTCACACTCACAAAAACAGAGCGAATGATGATAACGAAAACAAGGATAGCGGTCAACACTGCTTACATTTTCAAAACAACAGAGTCGTCGCACCTTACAGTCACAAAAACACAGAAAATATCACCGATGATAAGTACAATGAACAATGTTGGCCGATAATTGTGTAGCCGTGCGATGGCGGGTTTATGATCGACAAAGAATTAAGGGGAGGGCTGTAGTGCACAGGTTGGCCGTGTGGCATCGCGTGGGTAGGCTGGCAAGTGAAGGTAGAGGTGCGTGGTGCAGAGGGCTAAATATCCTTTCCTTATAAAATGTCACTGACTTGACATGGAAAAATATAATTTACATTGCTGGAATCCTTGCCTGACCGCAATTAATTTGAGTACAGTATATACAACCTATAGTTTGCACTCTTGAAAATTCTTTTTTTTTCCAACCAATGGATATCGATGGCTATTCAATGGATATCGATAAAGCGAGTAGTTTTGATCGTATATAGTGAGATGATCTTAATTTACATAACCATCATTAAAGCGGAATATCCCACCTCAGGATATCGTACAGTATCTCGAGGTTTGCTTGTATTGACAGATATTAGCTGGAACATTTTAAGTTTTTAAGTAGAATAATCTAAATTATTGTATGATAATGATAAGTTTTTACTTGGTATAATATCTTGTTTCTAGTAGGATAAAATCAAGTTGGTGTCAAGCTTGGTGAAGGATACTGTCAAGTTTTAAGTAGGATAATATTAAGTTTTATGCAGGATAATGTCAAGGTTTTACTCTTGTTAAGATACAATTTCTGAGGTGCAATACTACATTGGTCTGCTGGACTAGTTATTCTTTGGATGGTCCAAACAGCGAAAAGTCTGGCATAACGAAGGTTTTGTTTTCCGAGTACAGTACTGTATAGTAAAGTCTCCTGTATCCAAATAATTGTTTGAGTAACTGATTTGTTCCATGGAAATCATAGTCACAAACTTCTTGATTATGTTAGATTTCTTTATTCACTAATGTCTCAATGTCTCGGAAAATAATTTTCCATTATTAGAGCCTAGAAAAAAGACAAAATATTAAAAAAAATACAGTAGTACCCCGATTTACGCGGTCAATTGAACCCACAGGGTACCGCGGAAAGTGAAAACCGCGTAAAGTGAACAACAGAACAAATGGGATTAATTCCAAGAGAGACTGGCCCGACCCCCAAACTCCACTTTTTCCTACACAATACCTATGTTGTAATAAAAATAACATCTAAATTTTATGATGGTATGCTCACACAATTAATATTTAAGAGAAATACAGTCTCCAAGTTAATGTCCATTCAAATAATGGACTCAAATCCCCCCCCCTCTTCCCAGCTCACTAGCTCCTACCTCTCTGAGAAATGTTTGGGTGAAACCACTAGATTTTAACATTTAGTAATATATAATACCTCAGACTAAAGTTAGGATAATATAATTGACATTTCTGTATTCCTTGCAGGTCAGGGAATATTTTTAATGTAAACTTCATATATTCTGCACAAAGGATAAAATATTTGCTTTGTGTAAACCAAATTATTACATTAGATCTAAAATTTGTATGTCTATGCAAAATCCATGATGTTTATATTCAAAATGATCATATTGTAAGAATTCTAGCAATGCAAATTATATTCTGGCCGGGTAATTTGTATGAATTTTATGAGCTAAAAAAAAAAAAAAATTATACTTCACCGCGTATATGAGTAGATGCACCACGGAAAGTGAAAGTCCGGTTGTGGTTGTGGCAAGGTACCGCGTAAATGAGAAATCGCGGAAAGTGAAACCGTGTAAAGCGGGGTAATAATGTACAGGTAATATACAAGAAAGATGAAACATTATTCTAAACTTTACTTTCCGCAAAAATTTTCAAAGTAACATAGCTTTGCAATTTACAACCAGTAGAAATGATGGGAGACCTAAGTACAGGTACAAAACTAAAACCAGAACAAACTAAAACATACAGGAGGTATTGCCTTAATTGAGAAAAACAACAATACACCGGAAACCATATCACAACTGGTTGGCTATACTTTGTATTGATAGAAATCTTCCATTATGAGAAGGTTTGTTTCAGTTGCTCCTGCCACGAACTGAGGAATCATATTGCGATAACGGGTGGTCTTGTTAGTGGGCGAGGTTGCGGATAACTGAATGAGGTGGTTGTGTGATTAACTGGTCCTGTTTGGACTGAACAGCCCAAGTGCTCATGTAGAGTAAGAGTTTATATTCTTCCCATACTGGATTCTCAGTGTTATATAGTATGTAAAATGAGGCCTTAATTTACCGTACAGGTGCGGACTTTATATTATTCAATTTATTGGTATTTATCAAACAAATGCTATGGTTGCCTTCATGCGGAACAATTTACCTGTGCAAAGGGACTATCAGTAAAGGAATAAGGGTGTACACTGCTCGCATCTTCCCAACCTTGCACCTGCATGCTACTGAATGCAGTGACCGTCATACACAGGTTTTTACATCATAACCCATGATACAAGACAAAAACAAGTAACTGCATTAGCATAATTGGTGTATCTAACACTTTTATCAAGGTAAATTGAAGTACAGTATTAAAGTTAATGGTAGACCTCTTAATGGGGATGTGTCATGCATGATGAAAAGAAGCGAAGAAGGGAACCAGTTGCAGGGAAAAATCCTAAAATGAGTAGCATTTTGTGGTTAACATTGTTTTTACTTATCGATTAGAAGTCTTCTGATAGGAGACCTCAGTACCTTGTTGTGGAAGAGAAGCACCACAGCAGAACACATCTCTTATGGCAACAAGAATGTAGAAATGTCACTGAATGGCAGTGTTTGTTGGTCTTGAATTTGGCCACTCACTATCAAAGTAGGAAAGGGGTTGCACAAGTTTCAAAAAAGGAAACAAACTGAACTACAGTAGACAGATGAATGAAATTGATATTCTTCCATAATTAACTGGTCCCCTTAAGCTTTCATATATGTGTCCTACTTAAGGTTTTGATGTTGGTTTTAGATTTGCTACTTAAGTTGTTACACTTACATGGGTGCCGTTCACATGAGCCTCCATCTGACTGGTCTCTCCATCCAACCCTAATTAAAACTTTATGATTGAGGCCCTTCATGATTGGGGTCCATTAGTATTGAGGCTATTTAGGTTAGGTTCTAGCCAATTTGAAGTGGACCCCTATCCCATTGCTTAGTTTTGGTTTGGTTGGGTTGGGAATTAGTATGTGACTACTGTATTCATCAAGGCACATACTGTTTTGATATCCACACTGCTCATTCAGGTGTTACCAACAAAAATAATACTTTCAGACAATGAAAATATTTTTAATCTCGGCACAACATTTCATCTGTCATTAATAGTGACGATGAACTCAAAATTCATTTCTGTACTTTCTTTCTTCAAGGATCATCTGTTCGCAGTAAGAGAAGTGCGAGCGTTCGAAGCAGAAGTATGTAATCTGTTAGTCCATAACCCTGATCCCCAGTCTCTGAAGCTTTATTCTAAATGTACACTTGAGTGATCCTTTGTGTCTATGGGACTCTGCTTCTGTGTTATTGTCATTGAATTATGTGTAAAATACGACTACCCCTTTTATATAGTATACTTATTGAAGAGTGATTGCCCTACAGTTTTATATATTTTTTAATCAGAATTATATGTAGGAAAGTAGAGCTCCTATTGAATAAGGTTTACAGTTAGAAATCATTATATTCTTTGGAGTGTCACCTCTCCTGCAGGTCTACTGTATACTGTACTTACATCTAGTTCATACATCCATATATGCATTGTATTTACTATCCCTGCAGCTAAGGCTGTTTTTTTTTCTCCATTTTAGTCATTAAACTGTGTTATTTCCAGCCTTTGTTATCTGATTGGTTGCTTAAGAATATGTATTGTGGTATTTATCTGTCACCAGTTATATTGGTTCCTGGGACATACTGGCAGTGATATTGTCTTATTTTTTGCACTTCAGCTTTTACCCTGATTAAAGAGAATACTGTAATACTGTACTAGAGAAAGTACTGTAAGATATGATTCCCTAAGAAAAGCTGGAATAGTATCCCCAGTGTAAATGTCCACAGTGTTATGTATCCACCTGTGGTATATTTATGTTTTGCTGTAGAAGCTTTCCTTGTCATGGATTTATTGGGGTTTCAATAGTTTTTTTTACTGTGATTCTTGTTTTCTATTTTTGTTGGTTTTCTTTTCATTTCAGGATTCATATGCTTGGGTTTTGCTTTATTTTATTTCAAATAATTCATAGTAATTTGTAATTAGAAAAAAAAAGAGAGAAATATTAGACAACAATTTATCATCACTAATGTTGGACTGTTCCAAGAAAAAAAAGTTCATAAAAGGATTTGAGACCTCATTTCATAACCAATAGATTATTTTATTATATATATTTATGTCGTCCTGTACTAGACTGCAAGGGCATTGCAGGCTATTGCAGTGGTACACTACTTAAAACACACTCGCACATCTTTGAATTTCAACCTGCTGAATTGCTGGATGAACTAAATGTGTGACCTACTTGTCTTGATCACTGAGCTTGAGTAGTTGTCCTTTTCTTGGTCCAGTATTGGGGTTTCCTGTGTGCCCTTAAGTTGTGTGCCTTAAACAGTGGATTACACAATTTCTTCCAGATAGGATGTAAGAGTTTTATTGCTGCATTTACTGTGTGTGTGTGTAGTGGAATTATGACTTTTTATTTTTCTCAATCCAAGAGTTTTCTCACATGAATACTTGATGTGCTGTAGTTTATATTAGTATCTTCATGATTTTATGTATTAAAGCCTAGGTTTATTCTTTTTGTATAAATATGAAAAACATAAATCTTGTGCTCTTTGAAAAGATTTTAATGTGTTTTCCAGATACATTTGCTTCATTCTGAAAAGCTAGTCATTATTAAAAAAGCCAACTATGTGATATACTACAATGAGACTGATTGAAACTGTTTTTATTTCAGGGTCAGGTGGAAGATTGCCAGGTGAGTCTTAATAGTACATTTCAGTAACTGCTTTATAAATAGTGTTATCTCTGTAAATATTTAATTAATGTGTGTGGTAAGAATGTAAATATTTCAACATTAATTCTGGCAGGAGGTTTATTATGTTTTCTTTATAGTAGGAAGTTATATAAGCATTTGCTGTCTTAAGGCTTTTGTATAAGGCTATTTGTATGAATTAGAATTATGTGAATGTGGTGGAGGGATGTCCACTTTGCTTCTCTCTTACTGCATTTCTAAAAGTAATGATGCTATGTTAGCAACTGCCTTGGTATGTCTTAATTTGGAGAAGTTTGAGCATTTTGAATGAGTGACAAGTAATATAACACTTTAAAGTGGAATGTGTTCCTTGAAGTCATCATTGTGATCAAGTTTCACTCTGAGGTTCCTTTTTCTTCTTAACTGCTGGTATCAACTACACCAGATTGCTGCAGCATCTGTTTATTGGTTCTGGCTGAATATACATATATACCATATACTGTATCTCTGATAAGCACATACAGTACATGTTAACTCTACATTATATAGCTACAGTGTTAAGTGACTGCTGTATCAAGAGAAATGGTGGTGTAGTAGTATTTCCTTTTATGTTATTTTTCTTTTAATTACTAATGTTAAACTCATTCCCTCCACAGATGTTTTGCTAATTTTATGTTGAGTCATTGGGAGCTTTTGTGTGACATAGGATGCTTACATTTGAGATTTCTAGGAATTCCCTCTCTCTCTACATTGATGTCTCCTTCTTTCCTTGGTATGTGTATCCAGCCAGATACTAAAAGACTGATGTGAAAAACGTCATTTGTAGTAAGATCGGCCATGTGAGGAATAAAAGTTTTATAGTTGAGAAAACTCTGCAAGTGCATATAGCCCACTGAAACCATTACTAAATTTGTCATGACAACTTCTAGTAACCTGATTCCTAATACTGTACTTTGAACACAACAACAAAAATTTTAATTTATAATTGCACAAGTGTTTCCAGTACAGCATTTTGATACTAAGTGATAAACTATCAATTGTAAATTCTTATTGAAATTGAAGTTTTTGGTAGAGAAAATGTATGCACATGTTGAAATTAATTATGCAAATTTTGATTAAAGAATGATTGAAAATTAAGATACTATTCATAAAAAAAAAAATTCTGACCAAATTCCTCTAAAACTACAGTACTGTATGTACAAATGTTAACAAAACCTTTAACGTGACATAAAAAATTAGAACCTCCTCACAACTCTTACCCTTAAATGCTAAATCCCTTTGCCAGTATACTAACATTTTTCTGACTAATTGTTGTACATTTACTGCTCTACATCCTCAGTCCAGAAGATCAAGTTAGGTACACTAACAGACCTAGTCGCTATAACTTCCTTAAAGTCCAAAATCTTCAGATATGTAAATTTATAGCTGAGTACTGATCAACATAAGAATGGAGGAAACTGCAGCAGGCCTATTGGCCCATACTGGGCAGTCCCATTTACACTCAACCCCTATTGCTCATATATCCATCCAACCTATGTTTGAAGCTATCCAGCGTATTCGAGTTAATGATGATATTTGGTAACTTGTTCCACTCGACTACAACTCTATTTCCAAACCAATGTTTACCTATTTCGCACCTAAATGTAAATTTGTCTAATTTAAAACCATTGTTACGAGTTCGCTCCTGGTTGGATAGTCTGAGTACCTTGGTAATGTCCCCTTTCAGGTTAGTTATAGTACTAGAGAACTGAATACTGTTACATATTCTCAAATAGATATGATTAATTAAGAGTTAAATGCAGTGAATGATAAATTACTGTACACATGATGACAGGAGAATAGGATACAAAATGAAATATGTATGCTTATCACATCTCATTTACCTGGTGCTTCATCCCAGCAAAGGTCCTACTTAACTTTTGTTTATATCAGACACTATTCTATGGTGATATATTGGTTTCATTAACAAATAATTTTTATTCAAATTCAAACCTCTTTAGTTCATTGTCTTTTTCTAATAAGTGGGACATGGAGTGCTAGACTATTGTGGTTTAGTCTCAATATCTAGACAGATGATTTGGTAAAACTTTACGCTCGCACAATTAAGCTTAAATTAAAAGCCACAGTATAACGGGTTTGTAACGAAAATACAAAATTCTTGAAGACATACCTTTGATGGGTTAAGGCAGCAATATTATAATACTGTACTGGCACCAGGTGTGAATTACTGTACATGTACTTTATACCTTAATCTGTACTTGAATTGCTAAGTAATTCTAAATTTGAATAAAGAGATGTGAAAAACTAATAGTAAGCCATGTACAGTATAGTCAAAGGTTATACTAAGTTGTGCGATAGACAAAGCAACTTACTGATGTGCATTGTTCAGTTTTTCTGAATATTTTCCATCTTCTATAAAGATTATGGTTATTCCAGTTTCTTGAAATTCATCTGAAGAAATTAACATTTCAAGGAAAATCAGTTGAGTATATCAGGAAATTTTGATTTGTGAGGTAGGATATTTAGTTAAAAATATAAAAGAAAGAAATTTGGTCAACCTTACTCCTTTCCCAGCTTCAAGAGACTAAACAGACTCCACATAAGTAAATTATAAGAAATAATAAAACACTTCCTGATAATTAGTGTAGTGATAACAAAACTAACAAATAATTTTTTAAGAAAATCCATTTCTGTCTTCAATATAATATATATTTAATGTAACTTTAGGAGTCATTGGATATCTACATTGTTACTTAAACACAAAATTTTTACATTGAATTGATCCCCCAGAGAGACATGTATTCCCTGGTACATTTTCACAGACAGTCTATATCCTTTGCACACAGTCTCTAGTAATATTTCATGTGAATCACTTGATGTCTCTACAGTACAGTACTACACATGTAAGGATGTATTTGCACATGTATGTACACCCTTTCCTGTCTCTTGTGTTTGTTTACAGAATTACAAGAAGTAGAGTACAGTACAGTAATAAGATATTGTAGGCTTCTTTATATGTATCTTAGGATTAACTGATTGGATTTTCAAGCTGTTTGATTAATTTTTTTGCACCAGTGGAGACATGTTTTACAAGCTACTCCAATTTTATTGTTGTCTTTGGGTTTACATTTCTAAAACCCACATTATGTGCTCCATTTTCCATTGATGAGTTTAGTTTTTAATAATGTGAAGAACAGAATGAAAGAGCGTATTTGCTAAATGAGTGTCAGTGGGCGTGGTATGGAAGAGATATAAGGAGGAGAGATTATTGTGTGTGAAAGAGCTAATGTACAAATGGCATCAGTTATGAAAAGAATCAAAAGGACATAGATGGTAAGAATGGAATAAATTTTGGACTGACATGATTCAGCAAATGTATAAATGGTAAAAAATCTTATTACTTTCACTACACGCCAATCATGATGTGGGTTAGGTCAAGGGGTAGAGAAATACCAAAGTGGAAAAGTAATATGGGAGAATAGTTGATGATAATTGGGGGAAGCAATAAGGAAGGGCCAAGGCAACAAACAGAAATACCAGCATACTCGTCTTACTCATATTGCTATTCAACTTGTACAGTACATACATTACTGATATTCAAAATAACTTCTTAGCTTCCACAAGGATTTCAATGCGTCATATAAAAAAAAAATTCACTTTATCTTTGCTTAAGTGAGCTAAGCTTTAATGACTGCTCGCCCACATTGAAAGATATTGGACGCTAGTGTTTGAAGTCGTTTCAGTCACCCCTAAATTTATATCTACAATATTTAAAAAAATTCTTATATTAGCTTCCTCTACTACTGTTTTGGACTTTAGTTTGAGAATCTTTAATTGACATTCATTTTCCATTAAGAAAGTTAACCATATCATCTTGCTGATTTTATTATTCTGTCGCAATTCTAAATTAAAGTGTCACATTGGTTCTCATTAGAATACATTAACAATGTCTGGAACCTCTCTTCTTCCTTGTGTTTCTGTTTACGAATTGGGGCGTGTAGTGTGTAGTAGGCATGAGCAGGTGGGTGTGTGATGGGTGTGGTGCGTGGTGCTTGCAGGTGGCAGTGTTAGTGCTGAGGACCGGCCCGGTGAGAGTGGTGAGGTGGCTATCTCCTTATCCATGGCTACAGGAGGCTCGGGAGCCACAACCACGGTCACCAGCACTCCGTCTGCAGTAGCTGGGGCAGCCTCGGGTAGTGTGTCTGGAGCAGTAACAGCAGGAGGGGGAGGCTCTGCTGCTGCATCTGCCTTAGGATCAGGCACACCCTCCACGCCGATCAACCTTCCGGCCGTGCTTCAAGACCGACCTCACTCTGGCCGTGGTCGTGTGCCTCCGCCGGTGCCTCCGCGCTCACCTCGGGGTGGAACTACCCAGACCACCTCTACCTCCTCTTCATTCTCACTTGCTCGAGGTGGAGTTGCTTACCTCACTATGCCTCCGAGCCCACGTTTTGCTGGAGGCAGCCCTCGTTTTTCGCATCTGTGTAGTCCTAGTATTGGCATGACTGGATATAACATCTGGCATGCAGACAGTATGTGTAGATTAGATAAAGATTGCATGATGCCAATACTGCATGCTCACCCTTATGAAAGACAACACTATGTATGGCAAGTGCCAACTGAAGATGTATTGGCTTTATCCCCTATGCATTCAGGCGGTGCCACGCCTGATGATACTCCCCATAAACGAGCTTTTCGTCGTACCAATGCTGGAGTTGCCATTCATGCTATGCGTGGAATATATGATGTCATCAAGACAGCATCTCGACCAGGCACACCCACCAGTACTTCTTCCACTCATCCTTCTTATGATGAGGGTCTCAGTCCTTCTCATCAGCATTCCCACATTCATTCTTACAGACCTTCCTGCCTAAGTCGCCAATCTTCTGTTGAACAAAATAAATGTGAATTTGTGTTACCAGATACCCATATTACATCTACTGGTAACTCCCCATCATCTCATTCCGTGATAAACAAAACTTCACTGTGCTTGTCAAGGACAAGCCCAAAGCACAGTTTTTCTAGTTGTTCTCACACTGCTGAACAAATAGCAGCCCATCATTCCAAACTTAACAGAAATCTGACATTGGGGGAAACGTTTTCTCCCATACCATTGTTATCGCAATCAAGGCTACCTGATGATAGTTTGTCTGAATCAGTTACAAGTATTAACGGGGCTATTTCCAAGCCACCTTCATCCCAAGTAAATAATATTATTTCCAAGGAATCATTACAAGAGAGTGTGGCTCGGGGTAGAAAGTGTTGGGGTAAGGCTCAAGAACTCCAACTGTACAATAACACAGATATGACTCGACTTTTTCCAGGAAACATGAAGCCACTTTCAAGAAATTCCTTTGCTGGTACTGAGAGACTTCAAGTGGAAGGAGAAAATCTGAAAAGAAATTCATTAGTAGATAGACCATCAGCTGAAGAGGAAGCCTATATTGAACATGCTCTTACCATGTACTTGGGAAGATCAAGATCTCCTTCACCTTTTAAAGACCATCTGTCCCATTCATCTTATGGAAACTCGTATTCCCCCTCTCAGTTCGGAGGATCACATTCTCAAATGCCATACTCACCTTCTCACACTCCTTCTCCAGTGAAACATCAGTCAACTGGACAGCTTGGTATGACCTCTGATGCAAACTTAGGCCGGAAATCTTCTCTGAACTCTGAATTACAGTCTTCATTACGTCACATGTCCTCACCAGGCTTACTTGAAGACTTACGCAGGCACCATAGTAATAATGCAGATGATCAGCCTCAGCCAAGCCAAGTGATGCATAGAACATTTTACACTGAAATCTAATTTTTTTTTTTGTGTGTGTGTTATGTTGCATGCCATCATCCATATCTGTATACAGTATTGTGCTCTGTCAACTGTGTTGTGGCTTTCTTAATGCATTACCTTTTATCTTGGTATGATTTTGTCTTCCAAGTTCTGTTTGTTTAGGTAGTTTTAAAGATACTTGCTTATTTAGGCATTCATTATATTTTTATTATTTTATTATTATTATTATTATTATACAGTTGTACTCTGTAGCAAGGCTTTTTTTGTTTTGTTTTTTCAGTAGGATGTGATGTGAAAATGTAATGGTATTTAATCAGTAATCCAAAAAGTACAGATAATTTGTTTTAATGAAGATTAACTTTAATGGAGAGATATCTTAACAACAATTTCCATTATATATAAAGACCCTAGGAGGCAAAAGATAGCTAAAGCAATTTGTTCTGTAGTTGTATAATTCCCTTTTTATTAAATTTGATATTCCCTCCAGTTGCTTTAGTCTGGCTTTGACAGCAACCCGTAGTGATAGTTCCTTAACATGCGGCTGTTTCCGGGACACGTAGGTAGTGGCCGCGGTGTAGTTACTGTGAGTGGTGGAGGGAGTTCAGCAGGCCATCCACCTTTAAGCTCCACTCCTCCACCTCCATGGGATGCTGCTTCTGGGGCAACGGGCAGTATGATGGTCAGCACTTCATCTCCGCGGGTTCAAGTACGGTCATCGCACACACACGTCACCACAGTTGCAATCCAAGAAGATCGAACTGATGTTGTCAGGTAAGCATGTACAGTATTCCACCATTAGCTACGTTGCTTTCATCATGATGTGCCTTGTAATTTCTTAATATTTTCCTAGAATTTTATCTCATAATGTAAAATAAAGATCAGTAGTTTACCAACATCGCTTTCCAGCTGCCTTATGCTGTACAGTATAGTAACATTTACAACAATAGCTTAATTTTGAGTGGCATTCATTGGCAGTTTGTATAATCTTTACTATTTAAACAATTATAAAAGGTAATGTAGTACAGTATATGATTATGCAGAGCTTTATTGTTGTGCCTCCTGTAAAAATAAATTGTAATTACTGTTTTGTTCTTATGTAGTCTGTATGTGAATTACTGCCTTTATTATAATGAAGAGGAATAATTCTCTTATTTGGTTCTAATATGTAAGCAGCCCCACTCTGCAGCCCAAGATGGTAACACATGAAAAATCTCCCTTCACTTTTATTTCATTGTGGTTATTAAGTTAACTGTGTCATTAATGTGCGAGTTGATTATTTTGGGAAATAGTGTCTTGAAACCCAGCCGAATGGTCAGAGATCTTAGTGAGCTTTGTATATTTCCTTTTTTTTTTCTTTAAACAATTTAATTATCTGTGAACATTTAATAAAAAGTTCCAACATTTTGTAGGTGGTAGGTAGGTGAAGGGTATAAAATGTTGATGGTAGAATTGACTGAGAAATGGGCACCTTAAAAGGGTATGGTCAGATAGAGGCTATGGGCACTTCACACAAGTCAGAAATTCTAATGAGATAGATTGTATTTGAGACACATTAATGTGGTGAGATTGGCTGTATCTTCGGGCCTTGTTTGAAGGGGGGAACTATAGCAGATCGTGTATTAGTAAACAGATGGATAAAATAAATGATGAAAGGAGGGAGAGTCATTATTGTTCTTGGCACACACACACACACATCCATGAGAGAGAGAGTGTCTCTCTCTCTCTCTCTCTCTCTCTCTCTCTCTCTCTCTCTCTCATATTATTTACAATAAAATCTTGTCCTTGAATTTGGTAGATTCTGTGTAGTGCTAATAGAACTTGCTTTTGGAATATATTTATTTTTCATTACAATAATAGGGTGGTAAGGTAACCCTCTATGAATAGCATATCATTTATTTTATTTTTTTTATTTTATTTTTTTTTTATTTATTTTTTTTTTTTAGAACTTACAAAATATACAAGTTTTATTCACTTGATAACAGGACAAATTTGAAGAAATAAGTCAATACTGTGCTTGCCGTATTTTACCGCATATAAGACGCACCTCTCATTTCAGCAGGGAGTATTTAGGATTTTTTGTGTGTGTGTGTTTCCCTCCTGTAGCCATAGTTTTCTTAAAACAATATATATAGTACAGTACCAGGAAATGTGAGGAATGAATAAAATAATACCAATAAGTGGGTTAACACAATCGCCATTTGCATACATTCCCTGCTTCACCATAACAACGCAGACCAGCAGGGACGCTACCTCCATTGACTCCTTAGCAATACTCCCCCCTCCCACACTGCCTACTGGAGACAGCAACTGGGGGATTCATTAGCTTACGGGAGACTGCAAGTTCACATATAGGATGCAGACTAATTTATTTTAGCCATTTTTCAGACAAAATTTTTTGTCTTATATGCTGTAAAGTATGGTAATTTGCAACATTGAAATACAACTTTTATTGGATACATGTAACCAATAGAAAAAAATAGGATTTATCTGAATATTAGTAAACCAGTTGCTTATCTGGAGTAATATCTTTGAATCTATGCTTTTTTTTTATTGATATTGCAAGATTAATTAAAGGGATGGATTGTGTGACTGCCACTTCTCACATAGTATGTTGGCTGGAAAGGTTGCTAAGATGATGTTGATACTGTTAGTGTGAAGCTTCATATATCATTTCGTGGTTTAACTATGGCCATTTAATGGGAAAAGTTACATTTATGGATTTTTTATTTGAATTTGTATGTATTTAAAACACAGTTGCTGTCTTGTTACTGACTGCATTTAGTGTATGCTAATTGATTTTTTTGCTGAAGTAACTTTTGTTTTAAATAATTATTTTGTTATGCAATAATTTGCTGTACATTTACTATCTTGAGTAAATGCCAGACCCAAATGCAAAGTCATTGGGTAAATATTTAATGCTTCTAAAATGATCTTAAACTTTTGAAGGCATACAGATGGATGGTAATTGTATTTGCTGAGATTTTATGTGTGTCATTATGTTTGGATACCACACCTGAAGGATTGATAGAAAATTAATTAGGTTTTTATATTATTATTGGTACAGTAGTACTGTACTTAAATTTGCAGTGTTGTTTCAGGTTAATTGCCTGAGCCAAGGCAAAGAAATTTGTAGATACTTTGCCAAATATAAGGTTGGAATGTTAACGAATGGCATTTACCCTGTTCAGAGTCACATTCAGTAGTGTAGCACACTATACTGCATACTTTAATTTATATCATAGTTTTTTTTAGTTTTTAAAGTTTATTCCAGGTTATGTACGTATGTGTATGTTTGGTTGTATTGTGTGAGTAGGAGTTTTATGTAGATACCTTGTGCAAAAGTTTTTGTTAGACTTGTCCTTTTTTTTTAAATGTCAAAAGAGGTTTTTAACATTCTAAAAACTAAAAAGATATGAACAGAATAGAGAAGTTAGAGAATTTTATTTCATCAGCTCTAGAATACATATCAGCTGTGAGATTTATATTAAAGCTGATAGGAAAGTGATGGTTATATTGTATGTTCATTGTGCAGTGATGGACGGAGAAAGCTAAGAATGAATTTTTGAGAAAGAGACCAGATTTACAGTACAGGAGAGAAATGCACAAAAGGTGAAAAAATGAATAAGAGAAACAGTAAACAATATTATGTGATGATCGGGAGTTGTAGAAAGTGAAATGAAGTGAAAGTGTATGGATGATTATTGGTGTGGTGTGAAGCACTTTAAGTTTTTATTTAAGGCTGCAAAGAAATGTATAACTGAAGCAGATACATATTGCATCTCAGTGCTATCTATGTGTTTTCAAGAATGGATATGTTATAATTTGTTCAGAAATTTATTGCATTTTATTTAGCTGTATTTCTTGTGCATTATGTATATGCTCAAAATATAGCTTTTTGTGGCTTTTATTTCTTAGTGAATAATCCTATTGAATGTGAGTGTCCTGAGCTTAGGGCAAAGGCTTTAACAGAAGCTTTAATGGTTGTCTTTGTAAAAGTTATGAATATGAAAATAATATTGGTTGTGCAAGCATGTGGTAACAACTTTAACTATTGTAGAGACTTAACTTAGTATCATTGGGGAGATGAAGCTAACATATCTCTTATTCGTACAAGTATTTTAAAGAGTTTGATTGGGTTGAAAAAGTCATTCGTGCTAACACATCCTTGTCTCGTTCATCTCCCTCAAGAATTTTATCCACTTTGAAAACTTTGATAAAATTTTGGTTCGATATATATTTATTTACTATACTGTATTTGCATGATTTTTTTTCTTCTGATTCCCAGCCTATTATTCTGATGAGTACAGTGTATTATTAATTCATTTTGAAGTTCGTGGTGGGTTGTTTTACACAGTATATCCAAAGTAAAACAACATCATGCTTTTGTGCTCTTTAGACATATTGGTGGATATTACTGTATGTAAATATTGATCTAGGTTACTTTATTGTCACTTGCAACTTCTTATACATTCACTAGTATTACCAGGTGTTTACGAGGCAAATTATCACTTTATGGACATATACTGCTTGGCATTATGCTATATTCTCAATCATTGCAGAATCAGATTATACTGGACATAAAATCAATATTTTACAAGTGCACCTTTCACTATCTGCTTGAGGTCAAGTTCCCTGCATCCCTGTAGTATTATTTATTCCTCACTGTAGACAATTCCTCCCCACTGTCCAAGTTTCAATGCACTATTCATATTGTTTGTTAAGCTTTATTTATCTCTTTTTGTATTTTGTATTGGGAATATGGCATTTTCCTACAATCTGTGTGGTTTGATTAATATTGGGGTTAACTCCAGGGTACGTGTGACAATGATTACTGCTCCAGCTTTTGTGATTGGTGTTGGTCGTCATGCAAACCATCCCCCTGGTTTTTCTTTTCTCAGAAAGGGTCAAAAGTTGCGCTTTAAGGGCCTTGCAGAGGACCCCCAAAGTGTCACTGAACCCGTGCTTGTTAGCTATAAGGAGATAAAATCCACCGCTGTAAGGTAGTGATCCCTCACAATTTTTGGGTTTGTGCACTTTGCCTGGCATGAACAAACTTTTCAGTATTAGAGAGGATAATGACTACTTTACCTGTGAGCTAAATTTGCAAATAATTTTTATTATTTATCTTTTGCTGCTTTATTAAGCTCATTTATTAGTTATTCTGTAGAGTGAAAAAAAAAACTTGTACAGTTGATGTTCGATGTTGGTTGTATTTACAACATACAGGGAGAGCTAAAATATAGATTTAGTTCTGTATTTCTAGTGCTTGTCTTACACACACAGCTGGTAAATAATTCTTAAATATAATTACTGTAATATAAACAACCTTTTGAAAGGAATGCAGCAGTTCAGAATCACCCTTAGATTCAGGTAGTTCCTGTAGCTTCTGCCGCTGTGTTAGTAAGCAGACTACTCCTACTTAGGGTGTCTACTATTCTCTCATTAAATGATTGGACATTTTAGCACCTACTTACTGAAAGACTTTTTGTCCATTGTTGTCGTATAATAGGGATAGGAATGCATGCTTTCTGCCCATGCACTTGTCCGCCCGTGCACCTGTCCATCCGTGCTTTCGTCCGTCTGTTGGTCTTAGTGTTGTGAATATGAGAATTCAAATAAATATTGATAGATTTATTCAAAACCTATCACAGGAGTTCATCACAAAAAACTTGGTAATCAGCATAGTCTGTCATCATTCTCCAGAGTTATGGCCATTTGGACTTCTTTATGGTGCAGTGGGGGGAGTTGTGCACCATTATTCAGCAACAGTATCATTTTTAATCTTACTTTTGCTTAGAAAATGTCCCCAGAACCGGATCTTGTTCTCATAATGGTTTCAACTACTGTACATGCTTAATTGACAATTATATTTATCTTACATTAAAGATCCTACCCAGAGTAATTAATTTAAATACAGTACCTAAAACAAGCATTAGTGTGTTTCCTTTCAATAAATATTAGTCCCAGTTGATACTCTTCCTTCAAAATTTCTTCACTTCAAATGTAGTTGTGTGTAGATTAAATTTTTAAGGTGTATCCGTATATTTCTTTCGCCATATTACGTCGCAAAGTTTACTAATGATGTATTAATATTCTTCAATTATGTTTACTTACATATATCTTAGACTCCTTCATTTTTTGTTTTATTAAGGCTTTAGAATTGTATGTTCCTATAGTAATTGTTAACTCTAAAATTTTAAAATCAGCCATATTATTAATTTGAGCTGTAAAGTTTTCATATACGTATACAGTATACATATATGATGCCCGATCATACATGTGAATGGGGATCCATACTACATGAATGTTTCCCTTGTATTTGAATTGGCTCTAAATTGAAGATAAAACTACAGTACAGTAGTACTTACATTTTCCCCACTTTTTATTTTCTTCTCCAACCTCTTCTTGGTCCTCCCATCAATACAGTATGTTGAAAATATAACATAACCATAATTTTAGGTGATAATATTCATATTTTTTATTATCTTGGCAATATAAGTGATTTTTCAAGTGTACAGCATCCCCTCTCAACTTATTTTAGTTTGAGTATAGTTTTTTTGCACTGAAAAAAGGCAGTAAAGTATTTAGTTTTAGTTAATCGCTGTGTAAGTATATAACCAGACACCAGTAATGCCGTACTAATGTGACTATTTTAAAAGCAAGAAGATCCAAGACAAATCTTTACTGTAGTATCCTTAACCATATCAGTGTTGGGCTCTGTGTAGTGTGTGTTCACCCTCCCACATTTACGATGAGGTGCTAATGCATTTTATTTTGTTTTACAATTTTTCCTTTTTTTTTTTCTTTATGATTGATTTTGTGGTCACCCAATTGGTTGTGGTATGTTTTTTATGTTTTGTGTATGACCTTTTTGTTCATACAGTTGCCTATTTTGTGATTGCTTACAGTATTTAGGTTCATATCATGTTGTTTTATTAGACTTGTGTGAAACTATATGTTTTTATGTACTGTATGTTACTGCTTTAGATAGTCTCATATAATCATGTTCTCTCTCTCTCTCTCTCTCTCTATATATATATATATATATATATATATATATATATATATATATATATATATATATATATATATACACACAGTATATATTCTGCTCTATTAACACAAGTCATTGATGATCAGTCCAAGAAAAACTGACTTGAAAAGTTATATTTTAGAAATAGAAAGCAGAATTGTAAATAACAGTTCTGAATTCTGTTAAATGGGATAACCACCACATTGACACCAGCACTTTATTCTTTTCTTTTTATAACAAAAATCATTAATGGCTTGCGAATCCTTCATAGTGCAGAATAATGATGTTTTTTCTTTTATTATTATTATCTAAAAAAAAATATGAAACATACTTAGAGTTTTGTACATATATTGAACTGTGTATTTATGAAACTCGGTAAAAGAGGAGTTTCAAAGTGATTCAACAAACACTGTTTATAAAAAAGCACAAGTTGAAGGTCCCTATACCTGGAATATTGTTTTCACTGTTTAAAGGTTTTTCTCCTAATAGTAAACAGTCTGTGTATTTAGAACACAAAGCAGCTTTTTGGTTGTCTGATGTATGTATTATTACAGTACTCTATCACTGCACCTAGTGACTAATATTCAGTCTTATATTTAATAAAGTATGCCATTGATATTTTTTGGTGTTATCAGAGTATGGGAATATTTGTTCCAAAATACTAAACCTTTGCAAATTCTGACATTGTAGAACCATAAGCAATGCTGACAATATGTTGATAAGAAGTGAATGTTTGTTAAATGATGTCAATGCCCTCTGCAGAATTATCAGAAAGTGAAGTGTAAAATGCTTACAAAGTGGATGTTTTTCAGCATGTGAGATGATGCAGGTAAATAGGAGATGAGAAGAAAAAATGGAGGAATTGGACTTTTTTTATAATATGTAGGAGATAAGACAAGCAGTACTACAGCAATGTGAACCATTGTACAGCATTTATATGTACAAGTACTGTATCTCTTATCTTAGCAAGTCCTCTGGTGTCTTGCATTAATTCTTCTTCTTTAGCAGATTGAGACTACAGTACTGTACCTCACCTTTTTATATATATGATAATGAATTTCAGAAATGTTTCTAAAGGATAGGAACATATTAAAAAAAATAAGATATTGTTCAAATTTGCAATATGTTTGTAATGAAAAGAAATTACAGTATAAATAACAATCAGAAACATTTCTTTTTTTGTTTACAAAATGTTCAACGTTTGTTTGGCCACTTGATCTCCGAGGTGGGTGCTCTTGCTCACCAACTTTAAATTTATTGAATAACACACCCAAGAGTGATTGTAGGCATTGGACACATGTAATGTATCCTACAGGCTAATTTTTCTGGTTTGGTTAAAGTCTGGAATTTCATACGTAAGATTCTGTAACTTAAGTTGATGTATTCCAGGTATAAGGTATCTTACAAACATGGTCATCCTTCATCTAGTTTTCTTATTGTCAATTTTACTGTGGAGAAGAATTATATTTATTCCTCCATGCAATAGTCATTATTGTATTTATAGATAGGAGACATTCATAGAAAATTTAAATGAAGAGGAAATTTTAAGCTGTTAGATATATTTGTAGTCGTATTCCACAGCTTTTACAGGAAAATGTATGACAGGTAATGAGAACTTGTCTTACGAGCACCAATTTCTTGATCAAAATGCAATAGATGAATAGTTTTTTAAACTATTACTCAAATATAGTTTCTTTTTAATTTCATATTATTCATTTGAGGTATCCTAGTCGGATAAAAATTACCAAGGTAGTGTTGATATATATTCTTCATTTAAGAAAATTATATAGTTATAGACTAATCATTCTTAATAAACAACTTCAATTTCCCTCTCGATTAATTTGAAAATGAAGTGGGCAGACGGTCACAGCTGCTTCCTTGGGTATGTAGCATGATATGATAATAACTACTAATACTAAGGCCTCCTATCTACTTTGACCAATTAACTAAGCACGACAGTAGGATATGTGGTGTATGCATTGGGCTCTTCATGTTTGTTAACATCTTGTTTTCTAATTACTGAACCATCTTTCCTGTCTCATGTCTGCTGTCACAAGTCATATTCTGAGCTGGAAATGGCATCATCAATTTTATTTAGTGTGACAGTAGAAGTGAGGCAGAAAGTCACTACACTGTGTGAGTGTGGGTGTTGCTGTCTGGGCATGGTGGACTAACAGGTGACGGTGTTGTGTACGCAGCGTGAGTGACGTGCACCTGGAGCCTCGGACAGACTCGCGATCAACGCTGAGTGTGGACTCTAGCGTGGGGTCAACACCAATGGTCCGTACCCTCACCTGGACTCCCCCGCTCTCAGTAGAGGGTAGTACCCCTACCTGGACCGAGGGAACCCCCAGCTTTACCGAGTCCTCCTCTAGTGGAGATTTAGGTATGCTTGGTATTGCTTCACTGCCCTTGCTGCACTTCCCATTATCCTTTTTCACCTTTCCTCCTCTGCCTACCTTATGTGCTCTAACCTTATTCATTTGATTCTTCTGTCATTGCATTTTTCTATCAGATCTTCAATTTATTTAGGTTTTATTTGCTTACAAGCATTATTTACTCCTTCAGGTTTTGTAGCATAGCTAACTCTCAGATTATAGCAACATCAAATTTTGAAATCCTGTAATAATTTTATAAAAAGAAATACATACTGAAATAATTTAAATGTTCACCTGAGTTAGAATGGAAGGGGAGGTGTGATATTAGTGCAATTAGGGAACTTATTGCAACTTGTTGTTCAGAGAGTTTGTTATGCTTCATTTCCTGGTTAATACAAGGCTTTTGGTAAATCTCCTATAGTCCTTAAGGCCTTCACCTTTCCTTTACACTGCTGGGTTGGTTCCCTACAAGTTTCTGGAGTCTCAAAATATCTTGGTAGATAACACATTAATTTTTTATTCAATTTAGATGTTGGTAAATGATCCATGGTGTTTTAAGGTTCCAGCATGACTCCACCACCCAGGTTTGAAGAATCTGCTTGCATTACTCTCTCTCTATTGCATTTTGACTTTCTCATGGCTTAGGTTTGCAACCATGACATCATGGAACTTCTTAGAATGCTTATTCCAACTTTTTTAAAAACCTTAACATTTTCTTAAAGATGTTTGTTTGAAACCCTGGTATGTATTGTTGTAGTGCTTATAGTACAGGCACAAGTTACTGCCATGTTAGAGAGTAAAGGTTGGAAGGGCACAACTTGCCTCACACAACTTTTAACACTAATACAACAATCATATGAGTTGGAACAGGAAAAATAAGTAAAAACATAAGAACCTAATGATGATAGTAGTGGTATACACCCAGGCCTCCACAGCAAGTAAGAATTGTGTATGAATGAATAATTAAAGACCTTGTGGTGTAAACTGCATGAGAGACCCTACTATGGATTATTAGGTTCTGCAGATAAGACCTTGTAAACTGGAATACTTCTCATCTCAGACATTTATGAAAATATGCTGCCGTGCACTTATGATATAGCATATGTTATTACTCATTGTAATTATAGGTTGTGTCAGGCACTTTACATTATATTATTCAAAGGTTCATACAACAAAAGTTACTCAGAATGCACTTTGTGTTATAAAAGGATTTGATGGTTAGGACTTTTCAAAAACAACTGAAAATAGACCAACCCTTTAAGCTATGTTTGTATACTCTTCAAAAGTATTGCCTTACCATCATTGTAGACCCTAAGCCACACAAGACCCAAATGAACTGCTGGTACAGTACCAGTCTGTGCTCGAGAACGTGTATTTAGAGCCACCAGTAAGACCATGCCTATTGTACCTCAAAGCATGATTCCCCACTAGAATATGAGTGGATGTACTGTAACTTGTTTTCTGATTCCTCAGCTGTTTTGATTTCTGGTGCCTGAGCTATCAAATTGCTTTATCCCTCTCCAGTCGGTGCTGGGCAGTCCAGGTTAGGGTTTAAAGGAAGAGTTGGCTGGCATTTGAACCATTGTGTTCACTTATGTTGTACAAACACACATTATATATACAGTATATATATATATATATATATATATATATATATATATATATATATATATATATATATATATATATATATATATATATATATATATATATATATATATATATATATATATATATATATATATATAATTTTCTTTGAGGCTACCTTATTATATTTAACAATATTGCTACTTCAAACAACTTTTATATACAATCTAGATGAAAAACAAGTGTAGCTAAAACTATTACTGAAAAGCCAAATGAAGGTTTAACATAATCGCCATTTGCATAGACACTCCCTGCTCCGGCATAGCAATGCAGACCAGCGGGGACGCTACATCTGCCAACTCCCGAGCAGTAACGTATTTTTAATTCAGGCATTTTGTTTGGTAGAATTTAGCCTTCTGGAAACAGCAACTGGAGGATTCATTAGCCTATGGGAGACCACAACTTCACATACATGATGCAGGCTGATATACCGTAAAATGTGGTAATCAAATTAAAAAAAAAAAAAAAATCCCACACTCAACCCCATGGTCACAGCCAGCCCGGCACCTGCCTGTCTCGATGGTGTACAGTTGGCGTAATCCACAGGATGATTATGAGAAGGGAAGGAACTTTTTAAATAATGTAGAGCAACTTTTTGTACAATATCTACGTGTTACTGTATTTTTTGGGGGTATTATGTACAGTGTTTAGTGTTTATTAAAGCAGTTTTGGAACAGTTTATGGGCATTTTTTGGACTTTGGAACCAAAATAATTATTTCCATTTAAAATCAGTTAAACTTTAAATCACGATTTGATAATTCATTATCTTCTGGTACCTAACCCGCAAATTATTGCGATTCCACAGTATTTCTGCTGTGATGAATATACTGTACTTTTTTTTTAGATTATATTTCATCCTCAATGCTGAATGTGGAAAAAACTATTGCATAAATTAAATGAGCTTGTGATGGTACAGTAGAACGTCGATATAACGCGAGATGCAGCGAGATACGTTCCAAGAGAGGTCGCTTTAAACCAAATTCGCACTAAATCGAAGTGTTGTTTCAATGAAATAATTATCTTGGTACTTGAGACGTTGAGAGAAACACAAAATACTAAAAAGATTGACAGTCTACCCAGATGCACATCAGCCCATCTCCTAGAAAAAAAACAAAACATTGTTTTCTGTAGTATTATGTGAAAAGAAACACCCATAAATCAACACAGCTAAAATTAAGGGATGCAAAATGGCCTGTTTACTGGCTGGGAAGATGGGAGGGAGGGAGGTGAGGTAATATGTTTGACAGTTGATGCCAAGGTCTAGTGCTTATTTATTTATGTCCTGAAGTGTGACTTGAAGTTTTTCTCTTATACTGTAAAATGTCACTGAACTGACCTGGGAGAATATAATTAACATTGCTGGAATTCTTATAAGCTAGTGATTAGTTTGAATATATACGTGCTATAGTTCGCATTAGACATACAAATTTTAGTTCTAATTACAAATGGCAAATTTTTTTATCTTTTGTGCAAAATATATGACGTTTAAATTCAAATCATTCGCTGTCTTGCAAGGATTCTAGCAATGCAAATTATATTCTCCTAACTTTAGTCTGTGATATTATATAAGATAAAAACTTAAAGCCTACTGTATAACCACCAAACCTGGCAGAGAGGGAGGAAGGGGAGGTGACAGTGACATGTTTGACAGTTGGTGCCGAAGGTCTAGTAAAGTACAGTCAACCCTCGCTTTACGCGGTCCCACTTTACGCGTTTCCACGTTTACTCGGTACCCTGCCGAACACGGAATGCTCACTTTCCGCGGTGTGTGTACCCTTTTACGCGGAGAGCGGCGCGAGCAGGGTGCGCACAAGGTCGCCCAGTCATCAAAACATTACCGAGTTCTTCACCCGCCACCCACCACAGCCGGCCCAAGTCAGTGATAGTGATAGTATGGATATGGACTTTATGGACTTTGAGGGGTTTGACAAAGAGGCCCTGCAAGCCTCTGTGGTGGATAGTGATACAATTGATACAAGTGATACAGGTGAGGGCCAATAATCTGCCTCTGCTCGAATCAGCCCCTATCCTGCAGCCAGCCATCTTTTCTACTAATGTAAGTTAAAAACTCCATTATTGATATTTCTCTTAATTATTAATTGTGTGTGCATACCATCATAAAATTAAGAAGTTATTTTTACTACAACGTAGGTATTGTGTCTGAAAAAGTGGAGTTTGGGGGTCGGCCCGGTCTCTATTTCAATTAATCCCATATGTTATGTTGTTCACTTTACGCGGGCCGCCGTGGGTTCAATTGACCGCGTAAAGTGAGGGTTCACTGTATTTATTTGTTTATTTATGTCCTTTAGATTGAGTTTTTATTTTTTGTTTATAAAATGTCACGGAAGTGACCGGGGAGAATATAATTTACAATGCTGGAATTCTTATAAGATAATGATTGATTTGAATATAATCATGTTATAGTTTGCATAAGACAAAAATTTTAGTAATCATTTAGTACATTATTTTGAGTACATCTTCAGTACAGCTTTGCCCTTAGGACTGTGTAGCTTGCCCAGAGAAACATTAGGCGCGAATTTTAAAATATGATGCTTCAGATTGACTCGTGCAAAATAAGAAAGATTTGCTTTAAATTAAATCATTGTCCTTAATTGTGGGTGTTGCTTTAAATCAATAATCTTAAATTGAATCGCTTTAAATCGACGTTCTACTGTACACATACTTGTTTATTTTCTTTTAAGGTGAAGGGTCGGATCCAGCCCCCCCCTTTTTTTTCATCAGAAAATTCTAATACTTTTTCTTTAATGCATTATTGTACTCAGGCATTTTTGTATAGTAAAAAAATATTTACTATTGACCTCTGAATAGTAATAATAATAAGAATAAGAATAATAATAATGGTTGCCCCTCATGTAACAAGGATGGCTGGCCCAAGGGCCACTTAGGCATGTAGAAGCTGTCGCCAACACAACAATCACACCCAAAGTTAACGAACTGCATGATCCAGTTTCACGGAATAGTCTGAGAAGACCGTACAACTCGCCAACTGCACTGGCTAACCATTACCCAGGAACATGATCCGCAAATCGATTTAACGTCCAGGTCCCAATTACTGCTGGGTAGACAGCGGCAAATGGTGTAAAGAAACTTGCCCATAGTTTCACCCTGCCCCGGGATCAAAACTGGGTCCACTCGCTTGCAAGGCGAGCATGCTAACTATTACATCACAGGTCGACAAAATATCTCTTAATATCAAGTGCACATGGCCTCAAAATGCTTATGATACTGGTCAGATTAAAAAAAATAATAATAATTTGAGTGGGTGGTGGTACCCTACCCCCCAGAGAAAAAAACAAAGCAAAAACAGCTGGACGGGCTTGCTGTGCTCACCATGTTCCCCTACCCATAACTTCTTGGGCTCCCCCTCCTTTTTTTTTTTTTTTTTTTTTTTTTTTTTTTCTTCTTCTTGTGGATATGCCCTTGAATACTAGAGTACAGTACTGTACCTGTATATGGCAAAAAATTATGAATATGTATGTTTGTATGCATTATTGCAGTAGAGTAGTACTAAGATATGAAATGATATGAAATCAGTCGGTTAAATTTAGAAACTCATAATAAAATGGTTAACATAAATTAAGAAAATTATGAAATTTTCAATAAATAATTGACTGTAAAAGTAACCTAATGTTAAAACAAGAGTTACAAAATTAAAATACTGTATTGAAGTATAAAATGCATGCAATCGAAGTGTTTGTGAAGTATGCCTGAGATATACGTAGATAAATTTGAGATTCACAAGACAATTAACTGTTAAAATTTTGTGTAAAAGTTCATAAAAGGTAAATTCAAGGATTAAGCAAAATAATTTACACATCTTAAAGGAAAATTATCAGCTAATGTGTGAATAATTGTACAACTGTAGTTGAGTTGTTCAGCTGAGGCTTCCTTCTTGTATGGATTGACCATAACAATGAGGTTAAGCATGCATAATTTAGCAGTTAGTACCAAAACACCACTAAATGAGTCAACTAATTCTCATTGCTTGTGAACAGTGGATGGAGACAGTACAGTATACTAAGGGTGAGACTGGCATGAAAAAACTTACCCAAGTTAAAAAGGTGCATTGCTGAAGGTTACATGCAAGCTTTATTTTTTCAGTTTCATAAGCATTTTTTGTTTGGTTGTTTTGAATTTACCCGAGACAATTTTTTTTTACACGTGACCAGTCATTGAAAAGAAATTAGCGGTAAGAATTGTCTTCATACCTGTAATAAAAAAACAAGATAAAGAGAAAGTGGGCAGTTCAACTACTGTACAGCAATGCAATTGCTTGTTCACATTGGCTGATAATTTTCTTTATGGTACATTATATGAAAGATGTTTTAGTTTAATTTTCCTTAAGTCTTTTAATAAAATTTTTCTGAACTTTAATAAAACATTTACAGCTGTCAGTTGTTTTGTATATCTCAAGTCCATCTGTATCTCTAGCTTGTACAGCACTCCTAACACTTTGATTGTACAGTATAGTACATTTTACAGTATAATATTTTTGCTTTGTAGTTGTTTTAATGTTAGGACTTTATAATTCTCAGTTTTGTATTGTATCAAACTGATTTTTATTTCAATAATTTGCCCATTTTATGTTGGGTCAGTTTATTGTAATTTTCTAACTACTGACTGATTTTACATTATTACGTTATTAATGTTTTACTCTTAATATTGTATACTAACTAATCATTTAGCCATATATTATTTTAACTTAAGTGGGCTCCATAGGGTCAGTGTGGATACAGAACAATGTATTCTAAGCTTTTGGTAAACATGGCGGTAGTGCAGCAGACACTGCACTCAACTGCCATCACTTCCTAAACTGTAAAGTTAAGTACTGGGACCTACTGAGCTGGATAAATTGGGTTGTGGCCTCTGGACAGCAGGTAATTGTTATGTCACTTCCCACACATACACACCCATGCTCTTCATTTTTCATATATTATAGTTTTATTTTCTATTTTCTTATTTCTAATCCACATTATAGTATTGTATTGATGCACACTTGGAACACAGAATCCCCAGTTTTTCCGACTTCCCTCCCGAATTTTCCTCCGAGTCGAAAATTTACCATCGTTAAACAAGAAAGGATGTTAAAAATTTTACAAAGCTAAACATGAATATCTGTATTGAGGAGTGAGTGTACAGTATCAGCAAACAGAACAATGAGTGATGAAGCACAGCGTAGCAAAAGGGAAAAAACAAAATAATTGGTGGACTGAGAAATGTATGGAGAAAAATCAGTGTACAAGGAATCATAGTTATGGATGTATGGAGGGGACTGTTGACGTAACATAAGTACTGTGCATGATTATAAAATGTAGACTGGATGAATAAGGAGGGAACAAGTTAGAAGTGAAAGAAATTCTATGCTTGGGGACAGTACTGTATGTAAGGGAAAAAGAAATGCAAAAGAGAGCAGACAGTGGAAGTGAAAGAAGTGTGGGGCAGAGAGCAGATCAGGTGTTATGGAAATTGAAAGATTGGTAAAAAAGAATGTACAGTGACCCCTCGTTTAACGAACGCCTCGGTTAACGAAATTTCGGTTAACGAACTGCCTTCCATAAGGATCTTCAATTCGGTTAACGAACAAAAATTCGGTTAACGAATTTCTTACGAACCGACCTCAACATGTTTTCGCTTGCACTGACCGGGTAACCAGCTTTAGTATCAGTCCGCCAATACATTAATCGGTTCTAGGGCTTAAATTCCTTACTGTTTTAGTAAATATCAAGAAGTTTATACTATTCAATAATTTTAAAAGTTTAATATTCAATTTTTTAGTCATTTTAACAATGATTGAACATAATTGAAGGTAAAGTGACTAGTTTAATGCGGCATCCAGCCTCTTAACACAGCAAACAGGCGTTAGTCTCTCTCTGTTTTCACTGGAGTAACATCTTGCTTGAGACTCTCTTCAACTAAACGCTTTTTCCTGTGTTTCCAAGCAAATTAATGGTCATTTTGAAATATATTTTACATATTGACAATATATAATGCAGTACAGTGTTGATTTAAAGAAAATAATCTTGAAATACACCAAGAGAACTAAAATTTTATGGGTGAAATGGTGCCATGGGGTGACTTCTCTTCCACCCCAATGCCTTCTCTTCTTCCTTCTCCTCCACCCCCATTCTAATTTCCATCATCATCATCCAGGAGTCTTCTACATACACACCTCAAAGTAAGTGAACTTTTCTACCATTTTTGTTGAATTTAGGAAATTTTCGGTGAGCTGGAACCAATTACCCAAAAACCCATTGAAACAATGGTTTCGGTTAACGAACTACCTTCTGGAACGGATTGAGTTCGTTAACCGAGGGGTCACTGTATAGTACAACTATAAATCACCGAGGGACAATAGTGGGTAGAAAGTAAGACCAAGATGGAGATGGAAGGATGGGATAAAAGATGCACTTGAAAATTAGGGAATGAATCTCCAACAGGTAGCAGTGGGCATGAATGATGAGTAGAGAATATGGCATCTGTCTATCTTGGGGATGATGTTCTACAGATGACTGATACAGGTGTTGTGTAAGACTTGGGTAGTACCATAACAGAAGATCTCTAACAGCAGGAAGAAAAGATGGATGACAAAATATGAAGGGAAAATGTGTGTGTATATATGCACTGCATTTACTTTTGTTTCAGGTCGCTTGCATTAAGTTGGGAAAAGGCTTGAAAAAGGTAAAGAAAGCAAAAACAAAATCTTCTTATAGTTAGTATGATTCAGCCTATGCAGTACTTAATAAATTACTTAAACAGTATCATCCCAAGCCCATGCATGGACAAGAGTGATTCTAATTCAATATGAGAAATTGTCGAGGTCAAAGTGTAGTTCATATCTGCGTTATTGGCATTATGAAAAATAGTAATAAATTTTGTGCAAGTTTACTCCTTGCATTTATTAGAATATAAATGCTGAAGAATACAATGGGGGAAACTTGAGTTGACATAATATTTAGAATGTGTAAAAGAAAGCCCATTATGCAGTTTCGTGACAAAATCTGTCAGTGTCAGGGAAAAATGATAAAACTTATTAGGGTAATGTCTCGCATATCCCTGATTTTTTTTTTTTTTTTCTAAGTGTTTATGAGTGTAAATTTTAACAAACAGTACAGTATTCATGAAAAAAACTACAAACACTAAAGTACCATAAGTTTGATATTTTCATGTGATTCTATAAACAGTGGTTGCAAATCAAATTGTTTTTCACTCTATTACTCTTTACCATCAGAAATCATTGTTTTATTGCTGATGTAAACGAAACCTTTGGAAACATGATTTTTCGTTGTTGTGTTAATTGAAGATAGTGAAACACCTATTTTGTACCAGTAGTAATGTTTAATGTTGGGATATATTTACAGGAAGTTTCTCTTTTGACCAGTGTTGATCTTTGTATTGTGAGTTCTCATGGTTGTTCTCCATTGCAACACCATTTTTTTGCAAAATTATAATAGAAATATTAAAACAGTGTGATTGAAAAAGATTATTTTTCACTGATGTGTTTGCCAGGAAGAGTACAGTATATATATCCAATGAGAAGGTGGTCTTAACTGAATGTCCAATGTCAGGGGCCCTGAGTACTGCTAGTACAGTAATCAAGCACCGAGAACTCGGTTTGATTACCTTATTTGTATTTTATATAAAAAGTGGAATGTTGTCATATACTGTATATGTATTTCATTGGCAAAAAAAGTGGCACAGTGATGTGTGTTTCTGCCCGTAAATATTTCCATAAATATTATGGATTGAAAGATGTTTGTTCATTTACTAATATTTACCTGTAGCATGTAAGTCACATGTTACGGAAGGATCAAATAAAATACTAACATCTCACTGGCCTTACAGGGTGTCCCACTACTCCAGTACGCAGTCTTAACACTACTCAAGAGTCAACCGACAACATCAACTTCCATGAAACGGAGATGGTAAGTAATTAATTCCTCTCAAGTATGCTGTTATCTGCTTGCCTGCCACTGTGTTCCTTGAAGCTTCACAGGTATGTGCATAATAGTTTTTTGCATTTATATGTATTCTTTGTCTTGCTAGTACAGTATTTGATATAATCAATGTCTCGTGTGCTTCCTGTCCTCCACAACAACCAAAATATGAAAGCAATAGAATAAATGAGTTTTTCGATATATTTTTTGTCAGTACGTACAAGTTATTTTTTCCCACACTGTAGTGAGACATTTTTACATTAGAAAGCTACCCAGTAATAACTGATGGACTGACCCTGAAGGTCATATATGCAGTTAGACAGGATGAGTGCTGTAAATGTGCAAGATGTATTTTATTTTTAATTTGGTCTTTGCGTGCCACCTCAGAAAGGTTCGTAGTGCATATGAGGCATTGTTCCTCTGAGCCCAGCTCCATATTTATAGGGACAGCTTTTGTGCAGAATAGAAAAAACTCGTCTTAGATCATGTCTACCTGTATTTAATCTTTCTACTACAGTACAGTACTCCCTCTTTATCGACGGATTTTTTATCGACGGTTTCGATTATCGACGGATTATTTAGCCGGATTTTTATTTTGGCACCAAACAGCTTCTCCCAGTCCTCTCCTTGAACAGGGCTAGAGGGTACGTGTTTTTCGAATCGTTTTCAGTTAAAAAATTATTACATCACACGTATATTTTACCTAAACTGCGCCTGAATGAATATATTCTCGGAAATAAATAGTAGTTTTGCTGAAACGTGATGTATTTCAATGTAAAATAGGATAAAATACATGACGAAAACAAAAGACTTTACCTAAGCTTCCGATGTTCTTGAGATGTTATTCGTTTTTTTAATAGTTTTCGGTTAAAATTCTGTTATATTACAATGATATTCTATTCATACTGTGCTTGATATAATACATTCACGGAAATGTAATATTTTTGCTAAAATGACGTACGTATTACAGTGGAAAGTGGGATCAAATCGTGACGAAAACAATGACTTGCGCTTTCTTTCGTTCAAAAGATGTTACCGTAATCACTTTTCGAATGGTTTAGTTAAAAAACTATTGTATTACAATAATATCCTAATTGACTTGAATAAATATTACGATACCATATTTCTGAATATTTTCATTAAAATCCATCAAAATCATTTTCCTTGTCATCGTCTGCAGCACCAAACAGCTTCTCCCAGTCCTCTCCTTGAACAGGGCTAGAGGGCACGTGTTTTTCGAATCGTTTTCAGTTAAAAAATTATTACATCACACGTATATTTTACCTAAACTGCGCCTGAATGAATATATTCTCGGAAATAAATAGTAGTTTTGCTGAAACGTGATGTATTTCAATGTAAAATAAGATAAAATACATGACGGAAACAAAAGACTTTACCTAAGCTTCCGATGTTCTTGAGATGTTACTCGTTTTTTTAATAGTTTTCGGTTAAAATTCTGTTATATTACAATGATATTCTATTCATACTGTGCTTGATATAATACATTCACGGAAATGTAATATTTTTGTTGAAATGACGTACGTATTAAAGTGGAAAGTGGGATAAAATCGTGACGAAAACAATGACTCGCTTTCTTTCGTTCAAAAGATGTTACCGTAATCACTTTTCGAATGGTTTAGTTAAAAAACTGTTGTATTACAATAATATTCCCTCCTAATTGACTTGAATAAATACTTGAATGGAAATATACAATATTTTTGTTGAAACTACCCGCGTTTCAGTGTAAAGTGTTGTAATAATAAATGGTAAACAATTTGCCTTGGGCATCCGGATTTTTGGACTTTTACTGTACTGTACACTGTTTTGTTTACTGTAAGGACCGATGTTCACTTCAATAAATGAAATCGTAAGTTTGCTAGTATTTTTGTCCACTTATTATATTATTATTTATACACTATTATTTAAGGTTATGTGTAAAGGAAACGCATTAATGCTTAAAGGTACATTTATTCAACATATGCTAATAATAGTTAGAAAAATTACGTAACCATCACGGTATCGACGGTTTCTTTATCGACTGCCGTCTACAGAACGTAACCCCCGTCGATAAAGAGGGAGTACAGTACAGTACATCTTTTGTGTGTGTGTGTGATTTATGCTAATTAGGAATAATAAGATAATTAAGCTTTAAAACACAGCAGAAGTTTTTGCCCAATAGGAATAAGTTTTTGTATTATTTCTTTTAACTTATGGAAGTTAGTTCATATTAGGTCAAATCATTACCTATCTCAACATAATCGGACTGGTTTCTACGCAAGGATAATTTTGTAAATGAAGGTAATAAATGAATAGCATCACTTGTAACGTAACCTAATGCAGTACAGTAAAGGTATTGCAAGTTATGATAGTACAGTAAACAAAATTGTGGGGGACACAAATAAAATTTATTCAGTAGATTTGACAATGGATTTTGCTTGAGTATCCCAACACTGTTGATACTAAAAAGAGAAATCCATTGTCTGTATCACTGTAAACACCACTGGCCGCCTCGACAAACTCAACATTATCTGGGTTTGTCTTCATCACCCAATTCTATATCAATGCCACTCAAATCAAGCAACTCTTGATGAATAGCATTACTACTGAGGGTGTGGAGGGGTTTGAGGTGGGTCACAAGATGCCAAAGGACATGCATCCATCATGATAAGGGCAGGTAACTGGACCACTAGACTCGAGACAAAGATTACGTGCGAGTTGAGTTGCCAAGTAAATAAATATCCAATGCAAAGTACTTCTTCCCGCCTGAGCATTCAAACTATGCCGAGAAACTAAGGATGTCGAGGAATGTCATCCGGGGTTTAAGGGTTAATGCAGTACAGTATTATTATAAACTGTATACAGTATTATTATTATTATTATTTTTGTTATTGTAATTGTTAGTATACAGTGTTGTTGTTATTATTATTATTATTATTATTATTATTATTATTATTATTATTATTATTATTATTATTATTATTGCTACTACTACTACTTTTTTTTTCTTTTTCTTTTAAACGTGGCCTCCAGCCTCCCCCAATAGCCACACCTTCGCCACCATTTAATTACCTTAATATTAAATATCCTAATACATAAGAAGCTATCCTATCTGTGTTAAATTAGTTGAGCCGCAGATCTATGCGACATTCAGTGACAGTAGCCTCATAGTCAGTATCTGCAGCAGTTGTCGGAGTTGGGGCAGAAGCTCTCGTTCCCCTGAGGCAGAGTTACTACTACTACTACTACTACTCTTATTATTATTACTATTATTAATATTATTTTATTGTTATTACAGTATTATTATTAGATTATAAAAATGTACATGAACCTATTCTCTAAGAAACACACACACACACACACACACACACACACACATACATACATACATACATACATACATACATACATATTATGGAAAAATTTTAGGGAACTATTCCAAGAAAAATGTTGTGCTCTTGAACAACTCCCTCCCTTCTTCACATGTAGCCACCAGCTTGATCTCAAAAAAAAAAGTAATGTATACAAATATCCTGTGCAACATTCAATAAGAGGAGGATGGTAGATTACTGGGAAAGACTCAAGGGTGAGGATCATCTGCTTCAGCCACATTCAGTGCCTAAGGTCTTGCCAGTCATGGAAAAGGTGATCTATCGTGCCCAGAGAGAGAGAATTGATTACTTGGTATATTGTCCCTGTGTGTAAGTATGAGATACTGTATTTAGTTGATGTAGTTCTTTTTTTATTTTTTGTTGTGAAGAATTAGGTTTTTCTGGTTGAACTTCAAAGCGGTGGGTGTGTGTGTGTGTGTGGTTCTTTGAAAGGTAAATGAGACCAGTAAAAAAAAAAAAATCGTGGAACTGGGAAGTGTGATGGAAGTACAGCACAGTTGTGTTTGATGACTCGGATGTGTAATGTTTCTTTCAGTACACTGCTACATGAAAAATGAAGACTTGATCAAGGATTTATATTAGTGATCCCAGAGTCAGTCCCCTATTTAAGCTCACTAAACCTTGTATTGTTAACAACCATTTAGGTAAAATAATAATGCAAAAAAAAAAAAAAAATTTCATTGCCCCAGCTGAAAAGTGTGGTTTGGGTCATTTTTTTTAATTAATCAATCAGTGGTCATTTTTGTAATCATCTTCTCAAATACTGTTTGACCTGACCCCTGGTGGCTCTCATATTATACTCACCTTACCTTGTGGTTCCTGACCTTGGAATCTCTCAGCATTGGTGGTCCAGGAGTAGAGTCCCTGGAACTTGAATAATTATAAAGAAGAAAATTTTGCTTCCAGACCAGGTAATCTGCCACACTGTAAAAGGTCTTGTTAAAAGGTACATTTTTATCCCAATCTAATCTCATCATTTCCTGGAATATGGATAATATTTTTATCCTGCACAGTTGTAGAATATTTACCAGTATCAGGAAAAGGGTGTGAAGACTTGAGTTATTAATATTTTTTATATTAAGGTAAAAATACAACCACTTTGGAAATTATTGAATGGTGCTGTACAAACTATCTGTGCCTGAGGCAAGGTAATGAAAACAAAAATAGGCTTGCCTATCATGGTAGTGTAGTCTGTCGTATAGATGGATGGCAATGGTTCAATTCCATGCTGAGTCATATGGCAGAAGATGTAATTTTTGTGTCATCAAGCCATTGACCCACAACATCATTGTGAAAGTTTGAGATAAAACAGGAAACAAATTAACTTCTTTGTTATATCTGCAGGATCATGAGAAATCCTAGGAATGACATTGTGCCAGAATGCCTATTACTACTGTAGTGTACTGTACTCTATGAACCTAATATAATCATTACTTGCCTAGTACGTATGAGGCTTAAATTCTAAGCTTTTCATGTTATATTTCTGAAAGAATTAACTTGTGGGAAAGCTATAAACACAAACAAAAGTTTTGGTTGCTTGTAGTTAAGATGTGTTGAAAGATGTCCAGAATTAAAAATTAAGCTGGCTAGGTAACAACT